TGACTGACACGCCTGTTGGTGTGGGGAAAACCTGCACATTTAGAGGCTGCCTGTGCTCTGGTCCAATCCCTGCTCCCTGCTTGTTGCGTGGAGGTGTGGTGTCACTGCTGCCGCAAGATCTTTGCAGCAGAGAACCAGTTTTAACCGCCATAAACTGAGGTTTGTCAGTTTCATTACCTCAGGAATGCTACAGGAGGAAAGGAGATCCATGAGGTTCACAGCCCTGTAAGGTGGCCTTCCGATCCCCACATCCTACACCTGCAGCCCTGAGACCAGGGAGACAAGTTTCACAGCCCTGTGTGATCACCCCGGCCCAGTCTGTCATAAACCAAATTATTGATATTTCTTGAAGTGACACACGACCCGAGGAAGGCTACACTTTTTTCCGATTTTTGACATACCAAGCTGAAAAGGTTAGCCATCACTGAACTAGAGCATACAAAACATTTGCTAGGCCAAGACTTTAATACAGCTCATCAGTCTGGAACCCATATCATGTATCTGATATTAACACAGTTGAGAAAGTCCAGAAATATTTCACAAGAAGAGTTCTCTACTCCTGTACTCGTTGCAGAATACCTTATGCCACCAGACTTGAAATTCTAGACCTAGAAAACCTTGAATTATGCCGTCTTCGGTCTGATCTAAATATAGTATATAAAATCATACACTGGAATGTCCTACCTGTCAATGAATACTTCAGCTTCAACCATAACAATACAAGAACACACAATAGATACAAATTCAAGGTTAAACGCACCAAACTTGATTGCAGGAAATACGACTTTAGCAACAGAGTGGTCTGTGTCTGGAACACTGTACCTGACTCTGTGGTTTTTTCCCCAAACCCCCAAAACTTTAACCTTAGGCTGTCTACTATTGACCTCACCCCTTTCCTAAGAGGTCTGTAGGGCGCATGCATAAGCTCACCAACGTGCCTACTGTCCCTATCCTATTGATTCTTTTTATTTTTCTTATATGTATCCATTTCATGTATTCATAACCATGCTTATATTTATACCTGTTATCTTATAATCGCTTGACAAAATGAAATGAAATGAAATAAATAAATAAAATAAAAGTGTTTTGAACTGTGGCCCAGGGGCTTTCTCACTGCCCCAGAGCTATGGCACATCAAGAAGCTCCTCTGTGCTTCATTGCTGAGCCACACTGAAATGGCAGAGGCCTCCAGGGGCATTTATGGCTTCCTGACAAGCTGCCTCCAGAGCCACAGCATGGCAAGCAGACCTAGAACTGCACGGTTCTGGAGCTCCTTCCTATCCCAAAAGGCAGGATGCAGGGTGGCCAAAAGGGCAGAGGTGGGTGGATGGCTGGATGGGATACAGGCAGTCTGGGACTAGGAAGGACCTAGTTGGGAATGGCTTGGATTGAGAAGAATCCTTGGCTATCGACTGGTGGAATTTGGTTAACAATAGCAACAGGATTGGGATTTTTTTTATTTAGTAATTAAATTTATTTGCTGCTTATGATGGGATGGGAAAGCCTGAGAAAAAAATGGAAAAATTGGGGGAAAAGCAGATTTTTTTTTCCGAACGGCTTTGGGAAAAAAAAAATCCCTGTTTTTTCCCCCAATTTTTCTGTTTTTTTTTTCCGAGGCATTCCCATCTCTACACCCTTCTAGATGGCTTACAGAATAAAAATATTAAAATTTGACAAATATTCCTAACCGAATAAAATGACAATACTATTGAAGTAAAATTGTGGCCATAAGATGGGGAAAGAGGGAACCAACTACACAGGGGGTGGGGTTGTTTCTCTGAATCCATCAACCACCTCCAAGTATGATGCTTCCCAGTTGGGGCCCAAAGCCACCTGGCAGAACCAGGTCCTAAGGCTCTTGTGAAAGACCAGAAATGAGGAGCTGATCTCCCCTCACAGGGTAAGAGGTTCTGAAAGGCAGGAACCATGGCAGAGAAGGCTCTGCCAGCCCAAATTCCTTGAAGGATGGGATCTGCAGTATGCCCCCTCTTATTGGCATGGATGGGGTGGACCAGTCTCAGTGGGATAAGATCAAGTAACAAGGACCCATGCCATGCAGAGCTTTAAAAGTGATCACCGGCACCTTGAATTGTACCCGAAAGCAAACTGGTGCAAATCAGTGCAGCTCAAGGAGTGTCAGGATTGCCAAGTTTTGTGATTAGGTAAAATTGCACTTTATGACCTCAACACTTAATCAAATTCTGTCCCAATTGCGGTCATAGGTCAAGGACTATCTGCATGAAGATAATTTAAATATCAGGAAATTCAATCACTTGCCCATAAAAATGATCTGAAATAACCTGTACCATCTGTATCACCCAATTAATATTGTTTTTCTACAGCCTTCCTTTGGGGTTGTCCCAGGATATTTATTTCTCTTAAGTCCAGAGTAAAGAAGAAATAAAAGTTGCTAAGATACAGTTCTAGGAACCACACCGCTTGTCCTTAAGCCTCCTCCATTTGCTTTGAGCAGTGACTGAGGCTTTTTTTTCTCTCTCTCTTTCTGATCATCTCTAGGAGTAAAACAGCTTTCTGGGGCAAACTAAAGCTAAGCTAAGCTACTGCCGTTTTAATGTTGAACTTCCAGTTTTGGCAGTATAATTGATTATTTAATAAAATTGAAAGTCACTCATTCTGGTTACAGCCGGCTTTCTCTGCTTTTTATTTAGTGGAATGACTTTGTAGAAACAGCAATAACATTTTCTGAGAGAGTTTGATGATGCCCCAATAATTTTAATGGGCCCAGCTGTTAGCAGTGTCTGTAGTGGGGCATTTTTTGCCAATCAGAGAGGTGTACGTGTCAAGCCAGATTGCTCACTTGCTACGTGGGCTGCCCAAGAACAAAAGCCTCCATGTATGTGCTCCTCAGAAGGCATTAGAAGAAAGGCTGTTGAGGTAAGCAGATAAAAAGAGACGTGAACAAACACAAATTCAAGGATGCTGAGAAATCTCTGCAAGGAAGCTGGAAATCAGATAGAAGTAGGCAAGAAATTGTCAGCAATGTTTGTGAAATTACTTACTAAGGAACTAGCATTTTATAACACGGCTGAGTTCTAGAAAGCACTGTTTACTATTTCTACTAAATGGGGGAAAATAGCTGATCTTGTCAAAGATTTTGCAGAGGTTTGACTCAATGTAGTGGGGTGTAACTCACATAGTCCATTGATGCCTCAGGTTTATTGAGTATCAGTTTGGAAGAATTATATGCAAAATACTCTTGTTAAGGGTCGCAGGTCAATTCTAGAGCTCATATTTTTCTATGCAGAAGGCTCTGTGTTCAGTGCCCGACACCTGTAGGAAAGATTGGCAAATGCTGAAGTCTTGAAACCTTGAGAATTGCTGGCAGGCAAGGCAGACTGGAAAATATTGTTTTGGTTGGGTTATTTGTGCGGGGCAGCAGTTTCATATGTTCAAAGTCTTTCATTAAATTGTCAACAGAGCCCACTTGGAAAAGAGTTTCACTGTCACTGTGTCTTATTTCTGCGCTATGATTAAACAAAATCAGATCTTCTTAAGAAGCAATCAGTTTTAATGTCTCCAACTTGATGGCATAAGCTTAGTTGGTAGGACAGATGGTCCTACCAAACTATTTTCTGGCAGGCAAAAATTGTTCAGTACCTCTATAGGTGGTTTGAGTCTGTATTTTTAAACAGGTTTTAATTGCATTAAAGCAGGGGTGTCAAACTTGCATCGTCACGACAACGTTGTGTGATATATTGTGACTTTTCCCTTCGCTAAACTGGGTGTGGGCATGGCCAGCGTGCGACACATCTGGCCCATTGGTCGCGAGTTTGATAGCCTTGCATTAAAGAATTATGTGGATTGTTTGGTTTGATTCAAGGTATAGTGTGAACCAGGCACTCCGATTTGTAGTGTACTGTTGATTTCATCAAGCATACTGCTACCTACCCACTAAAAGCTCCAAAATACTATAAAAACAATTGTCCAAATAGTTTTTAGATATTTAGATTTAATATTTATAGATATTTGGATTGCAATTCATAGGAAGTCTGACCATTGGCCATACTAGATGAGATGTGAAACCTTGGATCTCTCCAAGTTTGATTGTTTGCTCGCAGACATTTCACTACCTAACAAATAATACCTTCAGTGCTAGAAAGGAATGGGAAACACTCAGTACAATCCTGAGCTAATACATTCTCTTCTATTTATACTAGATGTGATTTGTAGTATTCCAAAACATATTAAACGTTCCATATGATAGAGAAATATATGAGTAGGCTGGTGCCACATATGGTAGAGAAAACGGGCTAACGATGAGGAGATAATACCAGTATTTAACAGGTAACCTTTTTCTAGCATTAGTTCTCTTAGTTTCAGCTTGTTTTGTCATTAAGATTATAGGAAACTTGTTCATGCCCCAGGTGTGGCTGAATATGAAGGTGGGGTTGGATTACAACTACTAAGCAGAGATGCAGTGTTGTGTGTTATTTTTAGCAACAAATTTGGAGAGGGAAAAAAAAAAGAATCCAAGTGTTACTCTCCCTAAGATGATTGGACTGTGAAAGTAGCAGTGATCAAAACTGACAGGAGACTGTTAATGAATATTGAGCCTCCCCTAGACATCCCTAACTTTATTGACTTTCTGGAAGTAAGTCAGGTATTTGCTGGGTGAGGCCAGGGTGAGAAAACTGTTACAATACAGTGCAATTGTTAACTTCCCTAATACTGAGGTTATGTTAATGTTGCTGCTGCTGTTTACTGGGGAGGCCAGCTGCTGATCTCATTCTTTCCTCAAGTGTCGTCCTTTCTAGATCCAGATTCAACATTTTAGCAGAATCCAGTAGTAAACCAAATACATATTGATTGTGATGGTTCAGAAATCCAGTACTGTATTTTCAAATCTTTTTCAGGGGAGGGGGGGAAACTATGATGAAGTTAGGGGGAACAAAATTTGCTAAAGGTGCATTATAGAGCATGGAGGATTATTAGTGTAAAACTAATGTTTTTTTTAAGATACTACTTCTTTCTCTTTACAGAATTCATCATGTATTGTTTTTGCTGCCAGACATGCAAGTGCTTCTAGTGTAAGTTGTTGTTTTTTCTTCTTCATTTTTTGTAGGATGTGCAAAATTTGTTGGTTATCTATTTGAATCTTGACTATACCCAGGATCATTCTAAATTGGTGACTGCATTATTGGCACCAAGACACATGTTTGGTGTCAATATATTTTATTTTCAAATTCAGTAGTTCCTTCCCATTGTCAATAAATTTCAGGAGATAGAGGAATAGTTTGCAAATTCATAACACGTTTCACCATTTATGTTTATGATGAGAATTCATAGTAGAACCATAAGTACAGTGGTGTAGTTACTGGAGAAGGAAGAAGTGATAGTTTTTCATGTTGATTTTTAAGTTAGAAAGACTTCAGAAACATTCCCATGGCTAGGCAAGACTGTAGTTTTGTTTATAAAGTTGTGTATTTTCATTGAAATGCTAAACCAATTGTTTTAACATATGATACCATTGATAGTCCATGTCATTTTAAGTTGCATCCAAGAAAACCAAGGGAAAAAGAAAAAAGGATCAGAATACTTATAACTGTGTGAATAGAAAATAGTCTCCAATCTCATCTCCTTTTGTGCTCAGGTGAAACAAGATGAGCAAAAATTGTACCAAATCACTAAATCTTTAAAAAATTAAATCAAGATTTTTGATTTCACCTTTATCGGCAAGATTATGAAACCATTAGATTAAAGCATAGGCAATTTGGTAAAACAACAAAATTGTAAATGTGAAAAATTTGAAAATGTGATCTGAAGCGGGGAAAAGAATAGAAACCACAAAAGAAATTGTGGAACGTATCAAGTGAACCAGATAACATGGTATGAGGACAAAATTTTTGTTGGTGTAAATTGCACCTAGGATTACTATAAAATAGACATAAAACAAATATGAGCAATATTTTATTTCATATGTCTACTTTTTCTCTCGTATCACTTTTCTAGGTTGGTTTTCTATCATTGACTTGTAGTTGATTTGTGATTTATAACAGTAGACATTATTTTATTTTCAGAATCTGAAAGATGTTCTTGCAAATATGATACCCAAAGAACAAGCAAGACTTAAAAGCTTCAGACAACAATATGGCAATACTGTCATTGGACAAATCACTGTAGATATGGTAAGTTTCATTGCTATACAAGCAAGAGTGGAGAATATATCAATGTGCAATCAGCCTGTAGTCTGCAGAAAATGAAAATTGTTATGATGGTACGTTGCTAGATACCTACTCTGTGTTCCAGACATTAGTATCAAGTATGGATAAAAAAAAAGAAAATGTTTGAGTACATGGGGAAAAAAGGAATAAGATTCAGATCCAACTGTAGATTACATAAGAGCTCCAAAATCAGCTTGAGTGACTCAAGTAAAAAGCTGGCAAGAATCAGGACTAGAATTAACCTTTCTCTGGGATCATGGAGAACTGCTTAGGATTTGTTTCGCATTGGTCTGCGTTACATAGAAACAATTTTCTTTATATTTGAATGACAACAACTCTTGTTCTTGTCTCCTAGAATAGAGTGAGGCTCTTGACTTGGAACCTGCTGGTGGTGGTGGATTGATTTTAATCAAGGATGTGTCCACCTCTTTCTTCAGAGATAAGAAAAATATTTGATTCTGAACAGAAAATTATATCAGGCAGTTCAGAATCTTCAACCTGCATACATTTGATAAATTAAAGCCATTGCTTAATATATCTGCCCTGATTTATTCTGAAACGTGCATTATTTTCATAATATGCGTCTGCTTATGAAGGAGGTACCATAACTACCGTGTTTCTCATAAAATAAGGCCGGGTCTTTTTTTTTTTTTTTTTTTTTTTTGAGCCCCGAAAAAACGGATAGGACATCTTTTCAGGGGTGACTTAATTTTTTCCCCCACGCGCACTCACCTCTCCATGAGGCCGCCACTGGAAGCTCCCCAAAGGTAGAGACACCAGCCGCTTCTATTGGCCGGTAGAAGCAGCCTCGGGGCAAGTACCCACGCGCACTCACCTTGCCACAAAGCTGTTTCTATCAGCCAATGGAAGCTCCCCAAAGGCAGAGTCACCAGCCGCTTCCATCGGCTGATAGAAACGGCTTCGTGGCGAGGGGAGTGCGCGGGGGAGAGCGGCTGCAAACTTTTCTTAGCAGAAGGGAAGCAAGCTGAGTTTCTCTCTCTCTCTCTCTCTCTCTCTCTCTCTCTCTCTCTCACACACACACACACACACACACACACACACACACACCACCCCTGCTAGCCCTCATCCCTGCACCGGGTCAGCCAAGCCCTTCTGGTGAAGGAAGGTCTCAGCATCTGCGGGGGTCCCACCACCACCCTCCCCTCCCCAGGCCAGACCTTTTCCAGGCACCCTGCCAAAGTCCCAGAGAAGCCGACTTCCCTTTACCTGCTGCCGCCGCTGGTTTGGGGAGCAGGAGGGGGCCGCTGGAGAGGGAAGAGGAGGCAGCAGAGCTTGGCTACCCCTAGAAGGGAGATCGGGCGGGCTCCCGAAAGGAGACATGGGAGCGGTCCTCATGGGAATGCAGCGGGGAAGCGGGGTGAGTGTGAAAGGGTCGCCGCGGTGGCACAGGAGGGCAGGAGGGAACTGGAGTGAAGAAGGGCCAGGGAGAAGCTAAACCGTCCTTTCTATTGCTCTGGTGAGGGCCAAATATTTGCAGGGGCTGGTTGGAAAGGCCTAATTTTAGTATGAACCTTGAGTCGTGGTGGGCGGAGTTGAATGGCGAAGGCACTCTGCACATGATCCGAGGCAATCCTGCCACAGCTCACGGGTGGCACTGCTAACAGTTGGGGGGAGTCTGAGAACTTCAGCAATGCCTCCTTTTCTCTCTCTCTCTCTCTGCGCCTGAAAGAGCGCCCGTCATTAACCAATTAACCAACACCAGCCTCGGAATCCCTTATTTCAGCATAATTTGGGATGAGAGAGGAGCCATAAAACCAGGGACTTGGTGACGAGGTGCAGGTTCCTTTTTTTTTTAGTTCAATCATGAGACAATTCTGGATTTCATCGGACGTCCGAGGTATTCAGAAGAACTTTTGAAAAACTTGCGGGTCTAACTTTGAGAAGCAATGAGTTCAGTCCTCTCAAATGACAGAGGTTAGGGATAGTCTTTGGAGACCTCCCCTCTCCTTTAGCTGAGGGAGACCTGGGCGATTTTAGGCCAAAGCTGCCCCGGAGAGATTGATCAGGGAATGGGCAGGAAAGCAAAACAGGAACACATTTGGGCTAAGGCCTTTTCTCCCATTCCCTCCATCGCAATCTCACAATTTTTATCCAGACACAGATACGTGTGTGTTTTCTCTCCTGCCCCGCTGGTAGATTCAAAGAAAACTAATGCGCGCTCCCCTCACCACGAGGCCGTTTCTATCAGCCGATGGAAGTCCCCAAAGGCAGAGTCACCAGCCGCTTCTACCGGCCGATAGAAGCGGCTGGTGACTCTGCCTTTGGGGAGCTTCCATCGGCCTATAGAAATGGCCTCATGGCGAGGGGAGTGCGCACAAGCGCTTGCCCACGAGGCCGCTTCTATCGGCCGATATAAGCAACTGGTGACTCTGCTTTTGGGGAGCTTCCATTGGCCGATAGAAACAGCCTTGTGGTGAAGGGAGCGCGCATGGGCACTCGCCCCAAGGTTGCTTCTACTGGCTGATCGAAGCGGCTGGTGACTCTGCCTTCAGGGACCTTCTATCGGCTGATGTTCTATCGGTAGTAGATCGGGTATTCTAGCCTAGGCTACCTGCAGGGCACTCCTAAAGGCAAGTTTTCTCCCACCCCACCCCACCCTTCCCCCCCATTTCTTTTCACCTCATGTAGTTCTTACGAATAATGTGAGAAATGGAGGGGAAATGCATGGTTTAAATAGGCCTAAATTTTGGGGGCAGGGCTTAATTTCACCTCAAGCCTAGAAATCATGCTGGGCCTTCCTATTGGTGGAGGCTGTATTGTTGCAGAAACATGGTACCATTACCTAGACTTCAATCCTTGGAAATCTTAGTCACCTCCTGTTTTATATAGCTTCTATTCATGTATGTACTGATACTTTCCATCATATATCTACAGTTCTAAATGTCTACATGCTCACATTTACGGTAGGTCATATCGACAATAAATTAGAAGCTGAGTACCGCCTTAAATCACAGATATTAGTTGTGGTGACTGTTTCAGCTTTGGTTTAATTTCCTGCTTTAGCTTAAGATTCAAACAGTAACAGCTGATACTTCTTCACATCTAAATATCAAATCAAATGTTGCTTCCCTAACCCATGAGTTCCAATTTCCTGTAATAAATTGCATTTTCTCCTTGTTGGATACAATCATGTGCATTCATTTTGGTTGCATATCTTAGGCTTGTTTGTCCACTAGGTCTGGGCCTTCAGATAAAGTTGCAATCCTTAGGGGATTTACATATTGTTCTATGCACAAAGTAGCTAGTTTTAATGATCTCTGTCTGAACCAAAGCCCATGTATTTGTTCCAGGTAGAGGCAGCTCAGAAGATGAGGAAAAAATTTAGGACATCAGCTTTAGTGGTTGAGCGAATAGGGAAAGGAAGGCACTGAGAAGATTAGCAAGCAGGCTAGGACACAGGCCAGGTGTAGGAGAACGTGAGACATGAGCCCCCAAAGCCTTGCCCTAAGCATGTGGTAAGTCACCTCCAGACTTTGTTTTGACCAAAGCCTGAAGCAACCAAAATGTTCCCGGTTTTGGTCCTGCCAAACTGGAGCTCGAACTCTTTGCAGAACTGTGAAACTCCTTGCAGTCAAGGGAGGACATGTTTTCTGCATGATGCACTTTGCCAGCAGGCACCTAGTTTACTATTCCTCATCTCTAGACAGGCTTTTTCCTCATTACAAAATCACTTTAGGTTGAGAAGAGGCTTCAGTGTAAACGTCTGGGTCAGTTTCTGTGTTCACATGGGCACAAGATAAAACAGATGAGCTCCTCACATAAAAAATAAAAAGATAAATTGGTTTGGTAGGATTATACTGGTAGATAGGAGGAGTCATCTGGAGACAGGAAACCGTGATAAAAAACAGGGTAGTGTTTTATAGTTTGGCATTTTGTCTCTATTCTGTTCCTTTAAAATTGTTTGTATGTGACTGATTATTGATTCACTTGTATGTCTTTTCTGAGTATTTTCTTTTTCTGAAGTAGGTGCTTTGCTGTGCTTTAGGGAGGAAAGGGTGAGATTTGACATTGGGCTCAGGTCCCAGTTCTGTCTTGACCAGCTTGTTTTTCGCTGATTCAGTAAATGAATCAGTAAATTAAGTCTTGAAGTTTAAAAAATATGTTTAAGAAAATGACTTTAGAGTCTTCTCCTCTACATTTCTTTGGCTTTTAGAATTTTTTTTCCTGAATTAGCATGCTTATCCTCCCCTGCAGTTATTTTATGGGAGCCTTGGTGGCATGCTGTCAAACTTCCAAAAGCTTGTAATTCCAGGCCAAGGAGAAATAACAACTTATTCTTGTAGCATTCCACTTCCTCTCCCCAAAAATGCCATGGGAAGGAGAGGTACAAAAAAAGTGAGAATGTGGGGAACTAGTTAGATAGGGCTCTAGAGGAAACATACTACAGTATCAGAATTCTTTTCAGTTAGGATTCAGGCCTAGTCAGAGGACAGAAATTGTATTGTTCATTCTAGTACATGACCTTCGCTATGACTTTGAATGGTGGAGTGCCTCTTACCTAATCCTATTAGATCTTTTCACAGCATTCAGTATCACCATCAAACACATCTTGTTTGGACCATATATAAGAGTTGAAGAGTCAATTTTGACGATTCTCCTCCTTTCTGAATAGACAATTCTAGTCAGTGGTGCTGGGGTGGGGGGGGATGCTCAAGCCTTTGGGTCCTCTGGTATGAAACCCCACAAGGCTCAAGCCTTTCCTCTGTGCTATTTAACATTTTTATAACATTGCTGGAAGAGGACAGCTGGTGCTGTGATCCCGTGAGTATGCCGAAGACATTTAGCCCTTACATCATCATCATCAGATTGTGCCAGAGATGGTATAGAAGTCCTGACTCGATGACTGGAATCTGTGAGGAACTGAATGGGAGCTTCAGTTATGCCCCCACAAGATGGAGCTGCTGTTTGCCCATAAACATTAGAGCACAGTGCTAAGATTGAGCCTAGGATTACTCTGGAGGGAGGTCATGCTTGTGAAGGAGGTGATCTTTGACTAAGGGAGCCAACTGGATTTCTGGTTTCTGATTAAGCATCAGGTGGAAGCAGTGGCTAGGGAAGCTTTCACCCAATTTATGCACTGCTTAATCCTACTTAGATCAGGGTGCCCTGGTGAGGCTAACTCATACTTTGATTGCTACTCAGTTAGAACATTCTTAATATGCTCTATGTGCGGCTGCCTTTGGAAATGATCCAGAAGTGCAACGGATACAAAACACAGTGACAAGAATGCCAATGGGAGAATCCCATAAATCTACAGTAACATCTCAATAAAGTTGACATACTGGTTACCAGTAGGCTCCCGGGCTCAATTACATCAAGCAGCAGGTTGCTAGAACAAAATTTGTCCATGTGAAGATTCATGTAAAGAAGGTCTTCTAAAAGTCCCCCTCTCCTACAAGGTTCATTGGGTATAAACAAGATACGAGGCCATTTCCATAGTAGCCATTTTGTGTATTGCAAGGTTTTGTATTCCCCACCTCCATAACTACATGTAGCCCCTACACTCTTTGCTGTTCAAAAGCAAATGGCAATTATCCTCTGGCTTAAGCTGAAGGGGGCAGGTCAAGATACCTTCATGTTTTTCTGATGTTTGTTGTTTTAATTTGAATCTATTTGCTCATTGCCCAGAGTCCTTGGTGATTAAGAAAGCTCAGAAATTCTGACAGATAAAAGAAATAAATGCTGACATTACTGTCCCAAGGTCTAGTTTTTCTTGTTCAGCTTTCCTCAAGCCATTCCATGCTAATGAGGATAATTATGTCTCCTATTATTCACTCCAAGTATATCCGTGACAGTTTGGCTTAAAGAAAGTTGTAGTTGAAACATCCAGAGAGTACCAGCTTGAGAAAGTTATTGATAGAAGCCTTTGGAAAAAGTTTAGGAAATTTCATTTTCTGGCATTGTGCACAGTAGTTGATGTAAAAGTTTAACTAGTCAAGAAAAGCCTAGTCATGATTAAGCATGCAGCAATGTCACTGATTTTATTTGTAACCCAGTTCTTTCTCAAGTGTGGAGCTGCAAAATAGTTTTCTTGATTTCTACTAACTTCCTAGGCTGTACTGAACTGTGTTTTTAATTAATCTCATTAGTTGCTTTTAAACTGATGTCTTATGTAATCTAGTGCAAACTGGATGTGAAATATTTTAGTAGGTTTTCTGAGAGCCAGTTGGAAAGCTAGCCTTGATTGTTTGTTAAAAAGTGCTGTTCTATTTGATCTGATTGAAGCTGCAGTCAAAAAGAGGATAGAAAGGGGGAAAATTAAGACAAATAGGAAGCAAGAGACACTATTAAAACTTATCACTGTTGTGTTTCAGAGTGCCAAAAGTAATGAAAAATGTGTAATAAAACTTGGGAACAATTCTCTACCAATTTTTCTATGATGCATAAAAAGTGAAATATATGCAAAAGTATGTCAACAAGCCAACTACAAATATGACTTAAATCACCTCAGATTGAATGGAAAAGGGGAATTTGGAGAAACTAGGAAGCCTGAAGACTTCTGTCAAATACTGTCCGGTCAGATATTTTGGGGGACAGACGCAATCCAAGAAGGCAGTAATTTTTCTGCCTTCAGCATTTGTGTCAGCTAGAGAATTAAGTTGAAGGCAATTTTTTTTCTTTGTTTTAAGTAGCTCTCCTTGTTCTCCAGGTCTACGGTGGCATGAGAGGTATGAAAGGACTAATATACGAGACCTCTGTCTTGGATCCTGATGAGGTAAGAAGGGCAGAATTGGTGATATTAATTTTGTAATTAGCTCTTAGCCTCTCCGTTGAAATGTGGTTTCTTATCCTGCTTCTGGGATTGGTTTTTAGGGCATTCGTTTCCGTGGCTACAGCATTCCTGAGTGTCAGAAGCTGCTACCCAAAGCCCCTGGCGGTGCAGAGCCTCTTCCTGAAGGGCTGTTTTGGTTACTGGTGACAGGAGAAATTCCTACCCAAGAACAGGTAAAAAGACAAGGCAAAGATTGCTGTCATCTCAATGTAAACCGCTTCAAACTTGATTGCAGAAAGTACGACTTCAGCAACAGAGTGGTCAATGCCTGGAATGCGCTACCTGACTGTTGTTACATCCTCTAACCCCCCACTCCTTTAACCTCAAACTAATCATTATTGACCTCACCCATTCCTAAAAGGTCTGTAAGGGTCATGCATAAGTTCACCATCATGCCTCCCATCCCTGTCCTATTGTCCCCCTTTATTCGTACCTATTTCCTGTATTCTTACTCATGTTTATATTTATATCTATTATCTTGTCAGCGATTGACAAATCAAATAAATAGATAAATAAAATAAGTGTTCATCCCATTTAAGTGATCTGCACAGTGATTGTGCAACCTTTTTTGTGTCTGGAGAACTGCTGGGGAAAACAATAAGAGCTCTTATTGTATAAGAGCCAAGATCATGGAAGACTGGTGTTAGATAGCACTTTCCCCCCTAGCTATAGATGTGCAACGTTGTTGTTTTTTTTTACTCAGGTGACTTGGGTGTCTCGAGAGTGGGCTAAGAGAGCAGCCCTGCCTTCCCATGTAGTGACTATGCTTGACAACTTCCCCACCAACCTTCATCCCATGTCACAACTCAGTGCTGCTGTCACAGCTCTCAACAGCGAGAGCACTTTTGCCCGCGCCTACTCTGAGGGAATTAGCCGGACCAAGTACTGGGAGGTAAGCTACAAACAGCAAGCTTTCCACAAGTGTCGGTAGAAGAGGTTATAGAAATGACTTCAAGCTTGGCGCTGTTATGAACGCGTGTACCTCTACCATGGCAGGATTTTCTTCACCATTTGATTGTGCTATCTAGAATTAAAAACCAGAGTTATATGTTGGAAATTGTAGGCATGTATGCATAAACAGAAAATGCAAAAATGAATGGTCTTGGCTGTGCCATAGAGCAATTATAGTTCACAGTGCACTCACTGTCTTGTACTTGTTTTTCTCTGCACTTCTTTTTAAGGCTGAAAATATAAGACTCTGCCTGTTAAAATGTAGAAACTGGAGTAACTACCTTTTGATAGTTTTTGTTGGTCAAAGCTTTATTGTGCTCTTACAACTAAGTAAAGTACAACTAAAGTCACAGCAAAATCTGAAGATTGTTTCTTCCGAGTCTTTTTATTGCATCTGCTAATTGAGAACTTTGTATATGATATATGTAAATGTTGCTAAATACAAATTTGATTCTAGGATTTGCTAACGTTAATTACTATGCTGCTAACATTAATTACTATGCTGCTCAAATTATCAAGGTTTTGATAGGGATGTAAGCTTACCTCTCAGCAATTGCAAAGGAAAGAAATCTAGCCAGTTAACTTTCCTAAATTCTGAATGAGTACTGCTGTATTCTAACCATTCGGTTAGCCCAGTCATCAGCTTTTCTTTCCTGATGATTCTGTTACTGTTCGGTCATTTCAGGGTTTTTGTGACCAAGTAGACATAATTTTCCTAAGATTGTCCTGTTAGCACATGGTAAATGACAAGAGTCAGCATAGCATGTGACCTTGGTTCTCAATCTCTGGGCTCCGACCCTGGCTGTCCTGGTAATATGAGACCTTGAGCGTAATGACATGTGCTCTGACCTGACTTACAGTGTGTGCGTGCACACGCCCTCTGAACTGAAGCAAGGAGACTTTGGTCTGGCTGTATAGATCTTTTATCTGCCATGAGTTGTTGCTGTCTGATTTGCAAATGGCAGGGGGTGGGGAGATGGTGCTAAATTTGCTTTGGCTGCCCATTAACTGTAATCTTTCCAGCATACTAAGGTTTGAAACTGAGGAGTCTGTCAGAAGAGAATAATTTCTTTCCAAAGAAACTATTTTGGTTCTGTCCTTGCCATTGATGTTGTCTTGTCTTGAAGTGAGGTGAAAAATGAGATCCTGTGGACTTTCAGGATGCACTCCCTTCTCTGCCTTGTCAGTTTTCCATAGAGCAGGGCTGTCAAACTCCCGTCTTGCAGGCCAGATGCGCCACGCGCTGGCCACACCCATGCCTGGTTTACTGAAGGGGAAAAAAGTCCTGATATGTCACCTGATGACGACGTAACGACATGGTTTGACACTCCTGCCAAAAAGAGAGAGAGGGAGGGAGGGAGAGAGAGAGAGGGAGAGAGAGGGGGGGGAGAGAGAAAAAGAAAGAAAGAAAGAAAGAAAGAAAGAAAGAAAGAAAGATAGATCCCTGCACCCCCTTCTCATAGAAAACAGCTGCATGCATTTCACAGCAACCAGACTTAGCAGCTGCTTGGTCAGTGAATAACTTCCTTCCCAGAGCATTCACTCTGCAAAAACAAAAGCAGTTGCCATAGAATGTAAAATTGGTACAGGTAGTCCTCGACATACAACAGTTCATTCAGTGATTATTTGAAGTTACAATAGCAAAAAGTGCAAAAAGTGACCGACGACTGTTTCTCAAACATACGTCCATTGCAGCAGCCCCATGTGATCAAAATTCAAACGCTTGGCAACTGACTCATATTTATGATGATTGCAGTGCCCCTGGGGTCATGGGATCTCCTTGTGCGACCTTCTGACAAGTGAAGTCAATGGGGTTAACAGCCGTGTTACTAATTTAATACCTGCAATGATTCACTTAACAACCCTGGCAAGAAAGCTCATAAAACAGAGCAAAAATCACTTAACAAATGTCTCATTTAGCAAAAAAAAAAAAAAGTTGGGCTCAATTATGGTCATAAGTCGAGGACTACCTGTACTCCTAACTTCATCCTATGAGGGACCACTGATACCACCACCATCCTTGCAGGAATGCCAACTGGAAGCTGAGCTCCCTCAAGTCTTCCCCATCAGTGATAGACTAACCAAGAGAGGACACGTAGGCTCATCTTTCAGCTATTTCTCATTTGTGGCTCCAAGTTACTTGACTAGTTCACATCTTCTGCAATTGTGGAGAAAGGAATGATGTGGAGAAAGATATCAGAGATGTGGGCAGACTTGAGTAGGGCTGTTTCTAAAATGCTCACTGGATGAACGGGCCAATCAGGTTTGCTGGATTAGGTCCATTGATTGGAGGTTCCCCAGCTCTATGTTGAAACATGCTCTGAAATGACTTCCTGTTCCTGCAGCTAGAAGGGAAATGGATCATTCTTCCAGTTTGAAGGCAAAAAGATACTCGAAATAGATGTGATTATTCCTATAGCAGCTTTCTGCAGCTGTCTCCCTGGAATTGCCCAGGTGCCTTCTGCAGTTGAAGCATGATCCTCAGAAAGGCAGAATTGTCTTAAGAGATGGTAACAGGTACCATTTGTACACTCTCACAGCATCTTTTTGCATTTTAAGTTTGTTTGTATACAGAATTCTCATATTTTTGACAGGGCCTTTTTTAGGTAATCAGTACTGGCCATTTGATTGCTAGTATAAATGCTTCCGTTGGCGTTCCGTTTTGCCATTTTTTTCAACTCCTGTTGATATTGAGTCCTGCAAAATATTTAAACCACATATTCATTGCCAGCTGCATTATGTTAGAGGTGGTGATGAGTTAATGTTTCAAAAGTGCTCTATCTAAATCTCTGTCAGAGCAACCAAAATGAAAATAGCTGGAATCTGATCCTAGATTCTGTTTTATTTAAAAAAAAATCTTAAATAATGCCCTCCTGTCTACTTGTTCTCTGATTTCCATCCAGCCTATGAATTGCCTTGACTGTTCTGCTGCTTCCTTGTCAGTCCCCATGTTTGATAGGGCTTTCTCTGAGCTGTTCACACTCTGTTATGTGTCTGCTCTTTTCTCTTCCCTTACCTTAAACTATTTTTTTTAATTTAATTTCCTCCTGCCAGGCCCTTCAGTTATCCTTCCTTTTTGAATGTTATAATAACAGATTAACAGATAATCAGAGTTGGAAGGGACCTTATAGGTCATCTAGTCCAATCTCCTGCCCAAGCGGTGGACCCTACACCATTTCTGTCAAATGGCAATCCAATTTCTTCTTGAAGGTCTCAAGTGATGGCGCTCCCACAACTTCCGAGGGCTAAGCTGTTCCATTGGTTGATTGTTCTCACTGTCAGAAAGTTTCTCCTTATTTCCAGGTTGAATCTCACCTTGTTCAGTTTCCATCCATTATTCCTTGTCTGGCCTACAGGCGCTTTAGAAAATAGATCCCAGGAGTACAGGAATGGCAACATTCATTTTGCTTAGTTATGCTTTGGCTTCGTGGTTGCTATAATGTCCTCCCCATGTGTCCTTCCCATAGGATCAGATTTTGAACAGATTTGATCAGATTTAGCATTGTGACCTCTTTATCGGGGCAGCTGCTGTAAGAAGTAACCCGGCACTTGTGTGATGCCACAGTTGCAAAACATACAGCTGGGATGTGACATCCTGCTTTGGAAAGAGAGAGAGAGATGTGTTCAGATAATATTGCAAGTGATTTTTCAGTTGTGGGTGTGTCCTCCAATTTGCAGTGGGCAGATGGAATGTGCCAACCAGCAGAAGATCAGGAGGATTGGCACGTTTATCCCACCAGACTACTCAATAATGCTGAGTAGGAATAAGGACCGAAAGTCCAAATGGGGAATGTAAAAGAAATCCAGGAGATGACGGGTAGCAGTGGTACTCACTGCTACCCATCCCCTTTACCATGGGTGTTTCTTCTTTAGTTTTTACAATGGCTCTTGGTAGTACTATTTATTAGCAAACGCAGGCACTTAAGCAAGTAAGAGACAAGAGCTTTCCAGCCCCTTAATGATAATCTTATAATGGGCTTAACAATTCCAGCAGGGAAGACCTGCTTATTTATTTATTTGTTTAAAACATTTATATAGCTATATTTAGCCAACTCTGGCAGCTCCCAGTCAAAGATTAAAAAACATATAAAAACATGATAAAAACTAAAGAACACAGCCAGTTAAAACGTAATGCATGAAAATAAAAACCCAGAGCCAACTCTGCTAATGTGCCATCAACTAATTTTTTTCCAAAGCTTCGGGGGGGGGGGGGGACTGGGGCTTTTTTCCAAGCCTGGGGGGGGGGGGGGACAGGTCATCTAATCTTTTTCCAAAGCTCCAGGAGGAAAATCAATCTTTAAAGCCTTACAAGAGGCATATATTCTTAGACGAAGAATATCTTTAAAACTGCATATGAGCTTGCCTTAACTGGAACTTCCGCGGTGGGGGTCTGCTTCGCAGATCAGGTACTGCTGGGAGAATAGCCTTGTAAGCAAGTCTTCCCCATCCTCCTCTTGTTTTGCCTTGTAGTTCATCTATGAAGACTCAATGGACTTGATTGCCAAGTTGCCTTGTATTGCTGCAAAGATCTATCGCAATCTCTACCGTGAGGGTAGCAGCATTGGCGCCATTGATCCCGCCTTAGACTGGTCATACAACTTCACCAACATGCTGGGCTACACTGACCCCCAATTTATTGAACTTATGCGGCTCTACCTCACGATTCACAGGTAAGCCATGCCTATATGAAAGTCCTGGATCCTCTGGATCCAGCTACAGCTACAGGCTGAATTGAGCAATGGAGAAAGATAGAGCTTTTTGGGGGGGGTGGGGGTGTGTGCAGCTGGTTGATAATTGTAAAAAAAAGAAAAAAGCTCCAGGAACGTGGGTGAAATCACTACCCAAAATTGCAGAGAGAGGCCGCAGTTGCAGTTCTGGGTATTGTATGAGCTGTTACAGGAGTAATCCACATTTTCCCAGTGGCTACTTCCAGTGTGGTTAAATTTGGAGATATAGAAGTATCAGCAGATTTAAGTCGTGGATGAAAATACAGATAATCCGCACTTACTGACTGCCTTGTTCAGCAACCAAAGTTATGATGGCACTGAAAAGGTAGGTTTACAACTGGTTTTAGATTTGTGGCTCTTGCAGTGTCCCAGTGGTCACAATTGAGGTGCTTTGCAGCCAGCGTACATTTACAACAGTCACAGCATCTCACAATCATTATTGCTATTTGTGATCTTCACAAATTGGATTCCTCCAGGTAAAGTCAGTGAGCAAATCAGCAGGAAGTCACAAATTGCAGTCATGCGATGCTGGACTTAATAACAAGCTGTAGTATTCTTAATAACTACAGTGGAACTGTCATAGGTCACATCATGTTTCACTTAACAACTGCATCACTTAGAGATTGAGTTGCCAGCCCCAGTTGTTGTCAGTAAGTGAGGAATAACATGGTTGGGTTCATATTCTTGTTATGGTTACTTAATTATGGTTTGTCAAGTAAGCCATACATTTTGATTTATAAACACAAAAGGAAGCCAAAATCGAATAATCCACATTATAATTTTGCATGATGTTTGAAGGTGTTTCAGTGTCTTTGAGGACATTGTTAGCCAAAGGTATAATATTTAACTGTCTGATTTCAATGGTAGCATAAGCTCCTGACTTCAGTTCACTGCATAGTTTCACTCTTTAAGAGCTCTTGAGTTAGTCAGGAGCTCTGAAAGTTGCAGTTGGTTAGACTGTCAACAATATTGATCTAACTAAACTTGCTGAAGCTGCTGGCGTTAATGAATAACTCCACCTAGTGGCAAAGAACATTTTTTTCAACAGAAAATTGCCTAATACAAATGTTTGACTATTCTTATACATTCGTATATGTCTGATACAAACGACCATGATGAAAAAAGCTTGAAGTGTGCCATGGCACAAATCCTAGCTTTGCATTCTAGTCCTGACATCAGATGTGTGTATAGGTCATCTGGTTTTGCATCATGATACGTCTAATTTTTAAGCAGCTTTTATGGGACTTCTCTATATACGTGGGTCTTGTCACTATATTTTTTCCTATAATTCCTAGTTAATTTTGTCAGACAGTCAGTAAAGGAATGCTGTGTCATGCTTGCTTTTAAAAACTAAAGTCTGCAGTATTGTAGGATTGCAAAGAAGGATTGCATTAACATTGTAAAGGCATTCATATAATTTAGAAGATAGACCGTTTAGAGTCTTTATGTCAAAATTTGAATGCAAATTCAAAATTCCTCCAAAAGTTATCACAAATAATAATTGTTGGTGCAATTTAAAATAAAAAGCCCTAAGATGAACTCAGTTCCTACTGACTACATGGCACATGAGAGAGGGAAACATTCCAAAAAGTTTACAGCGGGGGCGGGGGGGGGGAGACACATGACAGCCTCCCATTCCCTTTTTTGAGGGGAAGGAGGGAACAAAAATATGCATTTTTTTAATTTTTATACCATCTTTTACTGAACTAAACCTACTTTGGTAATCTACTTTATTGTTTTAAGAACATAACATAATATGTATACTTTGTTTATTAATACATTTAACCATATGGGGTACATTTAGTACCTGTAAAATTCTAATTTAGTCTGATAGTTTGATTGAATTTACTTTAAAGTGTGTTAAACATTTTCTTTTGGCATTTCTTTGGGCTTCTTCTGTTCTTGTCATCCAGATCAAAATTTAGCACTGGATAAGCCCTCAAGCAAATCAAACACTGATTTTTTTTAAGGGCTGAAAATGGTAATGCCTACCTCCAGGACACAGGCTAGTATTTGGCTATTGCCTTGGAAAAATTCTCCTGCAGTGCTAGTTCTCCAAGTACTGTCAAGTTCTGATATTCTTAATAAAAGACTTCCCATAATGAAATACCGATAGTCTTTTGTGGGTATGGTGGCAATTAGGGCTGGAATTTCTGTCACAAAGCAATGTAGTGGTAAAGCATAGCATCACTTAGCAACAGCGATTCCATTCGTCTTCGTGGGCGTTTTAACCCAGAGGCTGGGTGCACCATTAAGAGGGGACCTCATACGACTGGAGTCCTGGGCAAGTGGGTCAGTGGGTGAGAGCTGTGGGCAGGTGAGTTAATGCTGAAGATGTGTGCTGAGGAGCATGGGTTGAAGGCAGGGGGGCTGACAGAAACTACAGAGGGTGGCCTGATAGGGACCATCAAGACTAGCTGTAATAGAAAAAAAAATGAATAAAGAATAGCAGTATATAGATGTCCTTGCCTTTCTGCATTCACTATTCTAAAGGAAAATATTTTATTACACTTTTCTTTTAATTATTAAAAATCAATTTTAAGAATAGCAAAACCCTGAGGGGAATATTTCCCCCCTGATTTTTCCTATTTTACAGCATGTCCATGTAGTGCTCGTCATTTAAATTTAATTAAATTGAGTGGTTGTTTTTTATGTTGGCCTCGCTTACTTTTTTTGAAGTGCAACCCACGTTTAACAGAGTCTGTCTGGAGTTGGGTGCTGCCAAAACTGAATTAATTAAAAGCAATTTTGCCCCAAGAATTGACCAATGACTAAAAGCCGGCTTCAGTTCTCCACTTCAAGTATTCTTCAGGGGGAAGATGTTGGTGAATATTTATTTTTTTTATACTTGGCCAAATTCTTTCCACCTCTGTAGATACAGCTGTAAGCTGGCTAGCCCAATGCTGATAACTCTCTCTCCTCCCCCCTCTCCTTTCCTTTTGCAGTGACCATGAGGGTGGCAATGTCAGTGCTCACACTAGTCATCTCGTGGGCAGTGCTCTCTCGGACCCTTACCTAGCTTTTGCTGCAGCTATGAATGGCCTGGCTGGGCCTCTCCACGGTCTCGCAAATCAGGTAAAGAGACATGTGATCCAAAAGCCTTAGTTAACTTTGCACTGTGGGCAGAGCTTTTGAAGAGCTGCTGCTGCTGCTTTTTTTTTTCTTACAATGTCATCAAATCTCGCTACTTTGATACAGGAAGTGCTGGTGTGGTTGACAAACCTACAGAAGGAACTGGGTGAGGATGTATCTGATGAAAAACTGAGGGAGTTCATTTGGAACACTTTGAACTCTGGCAGGGTAAGTGCAGCGGTTAACTAGGGGAAAACGCTTCTTTGCTTGAGATGTTGGAGAATTGCTACCAGTCAGAGTAGACAAACTTGGGCAGAGCTGATCACTTCTAAACTAGTGCCCCTAACTGTCCAGATGTGGTGGGTTCTAATTTGCAGCATTCCTAGGCAGCTGATAAACACAGACAAATAACATGAGCTTCTGCTGTACAAGATGGAGCAGAATTGCTTTATCTGGCTGAATTGTCCAGGCATATTCAACAGGGATACCACAAAAAGGTAGTGGTTGAGCCAGCAAATTAGTAGGCCATAACTGAAAAACTTTAATTTCCCAAGGCAGAATAGTAGGACATGGGTTATACATTAGAAACATTTAAATTTTGCATAATTCACCTTTGTAATTTAAGGGAGTATACTCCCCATATATTGTGTTTCCCATCTAGACAGATAAAAAGACTTGGGATGATGGTGGGAAAGAAATAACTGGTACCATCATCAACTTACCCCTATGAGATCTTTCTCCCAGACATCAATTAGAAAATGAGAACTAAAATGATGGCTTGATTATGATATACATATGTCCTAACAAACTGTGTTCTATGGTATGTTTTAAAATATGCTATTAGGACAAGAAATCAAAATTGCAGAGGTATGAGTGCCCCTAGTTTAAGGAATAGCTGGATTCAAGACTTTGCACTAAAAATCATGGCTTGTTTTAATATGGTTTGTAGAAAACTCCATAATGACTATGTTTACACCAAGCAAGCTGTTTTGATTTAATCAGTCTGTATTCATTCCAATAGATATTTCAGTGAATCACCTCTGTGATTCATGGCAGGCAGGCAATGGATGGACAGACAGACTAGCATTCTGCAAATGCCAACTCTGGCATCCTCAATTTAAAAATACCCCCAGGCCCCACAGCCATTCTTTAAAATATATGGATGGCAGCATTTTGTTATTTCATTTAGAAATATGTTCCCCCTGCTGCTTCTTCCCGCTGTTGATTGGAGCAGTATACTCAGTACTCAGTCATAGGAACCATTGTAAGGTAAAGCTGAGGTATGATTCCACAGAAAGATAGGTTTATCCTTTCTAAAACAAAGAAAGAGTTGTGCTAGTAGTACTCAGGTCTTCTGTAGAGCTGTGATTGTTGGTGATCAGTCACTGGAAAGGAAGCACAAGAACCTGTTGTTCACGGCCTCCCCGCATTGTTCTGTACTCCGCGAGAAAATTTTGGTGCTCCGCAGATAAATTATTTGCATTTTTTATATTGCACTAAATACTATATCCTTTTAAAAAAATCGTATTAGTGGTCCACGGGATTTAAAATTATGAATGTAGTGGTCCCTGAGGTCTAAAAGGTTGGTGATCCCTGCTCTAAGCAATATTCATATTGTAGGTGGTTCCTGGCTACGGACATGCTGTACTGCGGAAGACCGATCCCCGCTACACCTGCCAGAGAGAATTTGCTCTCAAGCATCTTCCCAAAGATCCTCTCTTCAAGCTAGTAGCTCAGTTATACAAGATTGTCCCTAATGTGCTTCTGGAGCAGGGAAAGGCCAAGAATCCTTGGCCCAACGTGGATGCACATAGTGGAGTCCTGCTACAGGTGAGTTGCTAATTCTTAATATCTTTCCTTCTTGAAGGATAGGGTGGAAGACCTTTACTCACGCATTCAGGTGCAAGCTAAAATGAATTGTTGTGCTGGGTGAAATTGTAGTCACAAAGGATGATATTCAGAGAATGTATTGTAGAAGGTGCTATGGTATTCTTCTATGCTAATGGTTTGAAGAGGCCTCTTGGCCATGATTAATCAAAGACAATTTGATCAAGAAACCTCAGCCAGTGTGAGCACCCACAATTGAGAGAAATTTGTGTATGTTAGTCAGACTGTCTCAGCATTTAGCTTACTCTATCTATTTCATTGCTTTTTTCCTTCTTAATGGCTAATTTCCAACATTTAAAGAGTTTGAAGCACCATAGCCTCCTGATTTCTTGCCTGGTGCCTTAACCACTGTACCAAATGCTGCCACAGAAATAATTCATGGGTGGGTTTTTTGCAGCATGAAAATGTGCAAGTCATTTTCTCCTTAGTACATTTAGATTAATGTGCTAACTTATCCAATAAAATCAGACTATAATGAAATAAAAATGGCCAAAATCCTTTTCTGCCCAATTGTCAAAATCCACTCTGTAGGGGGATGCAATTCATATTATATAGTTTAGAAGGACGGGCTTGAATTAGACACTTGGCTAGTGGGAACTAATGTTGTTTTGAGCAGGGATTAGGCATGAAAAGAAATGAGGAGACTCTGAAAGACGTGCAGCAGAACCAACATCCCAGCCAGATTTAAGTTAATTAGGAGGAAAAGCTCTTGAAATCTGCCTTCCCTGTTGTTTGGTTGTATGTGGAAATATTGCTGGGTTTGCCTTCTAACCATTATTTTTTTCCCCCACCTTCTCTGCAGTACTATGGCATGAAGGAGATGAACTACTACACTGTGCTGTTTGGTGTGTCTCGGGCCCTCGGTGTTCTGTCACAACTCATCTGGAGTCGGGCCCTGGGCTTCCCACTGGAGAGACCAAAATCCATGAGCACAGATGGGCTGATGGTGCTTGTGGGTGCAAAGTCTGGTTAAAAGCAAGGGAAGTGGCAGGGGTTTTAGAACTATTGAGGGAATGATAGAGACAATGCAAATTTTTTTGTTTGTTCAAAGGGCCTTGAAAAGATCCTTCCTTTGAGGCACATGGCCATCACTTTTTTCCAGGTTATTTATGAAAGAAATGCAGATAAAGCTAGATTTTTATTACCCCTTCCCTCCACACATTACCTTAATTGTCACCAAAAGTTAGATTCAGAAGGGCAAGGCCTCCCTCCCATGTCCCCTTTCTCCATAGGCAGCTCTTCCCAACCTGAGCTGATGCCCAAAGCTAAAGAAAGTGCTCCTGTCCAGTTCAAATTCATTTTTGTTGCCCCAGGTTGTACCACCAGGAGTAGAGGACACACTGCCCCTTTCTAAAATCATGTCATTACCACACGCTGTGTTGAACCATCTTTCATCTCTGTATGGATGGGGTGTTCTGCATTTGAACAATGTGCTCCTTTTTAAGCCACCTTGGGAGTGTTGCTTTTTTATCAGTGGGTGAGAAGGAGGGATGGTCCTCTCCTTCAAGATGTCCAGCCTTCTTCCCACTTTGTGCTATTTTTATTCTGTTATAGTGTGAAGCAATGGATTTATGTTCTTAAAAAGATAGCAATGATGGTGGCACAGCTGAAGCTTGAGCCACCATAATAGCGTGTTGAACAAATATTGCTTACCTCTTTGTCTAACAAAGAGGGACAGTTTGCTTTTTTTCTCCTCAAACTACCACAAAGTCTGGATTCCCTTTGGGCCCACCCTCTTCTCCCAAATGAATGTTTCCTCCTCAAAAATCCTGATTTTGTGTGGGATGGTGCTTTGTTTCCCAAATCAGAGCTATAGTGATAGCTATAGCCAGGAACAAAGCAGCACCTTACGTTGCAAACCTTTCTCGTATTTTCTTTTCCCCTCACCATTAACTTCTGTGTCAGAGCGGTGAAATTGAAAAAATGGCGTGGAGGTTGCCTAAAATACTGGTAATGCGTCTATAATCGCAGTTGTGAACATGCTACAAAGTGGCATTAAACCAGTTGCCACCATTTTGAGACAAAATCTGCCTCCAGGCCTCCTTTCCTCTCTTGAAAGGACTTCATACACTCCTACCAATGTTTGTTTTTCTGTGTTTGTGGGAAATCCTTTGTCCTATAACCTCAAGAGATTTAAAAAAAACCTCCACTTAAGCTGAAGATGCAGGGTAAGTGCCTGTGTAAGCATCAGCTTCCGTTGCAAACTTTGGATGGTTCTGTATAAACTGAAAAATAAATGTTTTTATTAACAAGTTACAGTGATGTCGTCCTTTCCCCCTCCCCCTGCAGAACATGTAGCTTTTATCTCTGGAGCTTTTTACCATTACTCTCACACCCCTCCCATTTTGACCAGAATATTTGTTTTCTTTACAATACTGCAGTGAGGCAGTAAATGGAATAACAAAAGCTGCTACACATGGAAAGGTGGGGCAGCTCTGAGAATGACTGGTTAAGGAGAAGAGCTGGTCTGTGTAGTAGTTTTTCCTTTCATTGTTTCATGTCTACCTGCTTTGAATGCACCAGTGTTTGGGATCCTGAAAATGTGCAATACAATGCAATCTGATTCTGCTTCCTTGTTGATTTCCTCAGTACTGCCATCCTGAAATCTGACTTTTGTGCACTCTGAAGAAGCCTGGATCAGAAAGCAGTAGGGAATCCTACTGTCCAGTTCTGATTTGTTTGCTAATCAGGGATCTTACATATCACATAATGCTAAATCAAAAATGGTTCCCCCCCATTCCCCTCCCCCTTCATTTGGCTCCTTCAGCCAATCAGAAGTATACATGTATGTGCTTGCTTGACCCTCATGAAATTATGTCTGGGTTGACGCTCTTGCTATATTTCCCTGTATTGAATATTTGCACAGTTGCTTGTCACCAAAGTAGAAAGATAATGCAAAGTGTTAGATTTGGTTTTATCTTAATTCCTTTGAGTTGTATTGACTTGCCATTCTGTGCTGGTTGGAGACAGTTAAAAATGTGAATGGGAACACGGATTTCCCACATCTAAATTATATGTGGTCCTATCTGTTTTTGAAAGATTGTATTGCCAAAATTTGGTCATTTGACATAATATTTGAGGGGAACACAGATAAATGTTCTATGTTCCAGAAGCAAATTTTCCCATGTTGATATTAAGAAAATACATCAGAGTAGTTTTGGGTACAAGATCATTGTTTTATGTGACAAATTGTACATACAATTATTTTTTATGCTGTACAGCACTCCTTTGTTTTATTCAATATTCTGCATTCACATGCGGTATTCAAACACACTAAAATGTTGATGCACAAACCTACAGTAAATTGATTCATTGTTCCTTGCAAACTCAGAAAAAAACATATAGTGGTTGTAGACTTTTGGCTGCAGGCTTGTAGATGTAGTACAAAAGTTGAAATTAGATCTTCCAATCAAAACCTCAGTTGAACTTGAGAACAAACTTTTTTTTTGTCCTTGAAGTGCATAGTGCACACTGGCAGGAAGTCAACGTCTGCTGTAGATTGGTTGGATGTGTGCCATAGTGGAGAATGAAATTCAGTTGGAATGAACTTCCCAGAAACATTCTATAAATAACCCAGGTCTCTTGTGGATACACCAGAAAGCAGAGGCTATGTTTGAAAATTCAAATCATTCTAGCTTTCTGTTTGATCCAGCAGCATCATAGAGTCTTAAGTAAACACATTAATGAAAAAAAGCATTTGATAACAGGTTTCCTCTGAATAGCACCATTTTGCATTATTGTATAGGCTATCTTATTTTGAATGGTTTTGCTTTAAAGAAATCTATTGCTGAATTTGAAACCTCCATTGTGAGATTTGGTTTAATAAGCTCAAAGATAAAAATGTGTATTTCATTCTGAAATTAGGTTAACTAACCAGACATGGCTCAAGATGGGAAGTGCTTTAAAATGCACATTTAATTATCTATTCAGCTTTTGTTTTAAAAGAGTTTTCTTTGGGAAATATTGAGACACTTAATTGAAAGCTCCTTTTTATGACACTCATCTGTAGGGGTAAAATGTACAGCGGTACGTTTTCTATGTGTCCAGAAAGGGAGCTCACTAAAATAGTATTTCAATTAGCAAATGTGTATATATGTGACTGAAAATTATACAGACTGGGTCACATACCACACGTAAAGCCACAGGTAATGGCTCTCAAGACATTGAAAGAGTTAAGGGGGGGAAGCTGAGCTGTCAATCCCACATGAATGGGTCCATACAAATTAAAATTCCAAGGATCCAAACAGGAGTGGAAGGATTCTCTCTGGTGGGATTTCGCTTTATTATTTATTAAATTTACATGCTGCCCTTCTCACTATCAAATGACTATGTCATTTATCCTGTTTGAGTGTTCTCTACTGAAAGCCAGGTAAGAAAAGATCCAACTCTGATTTCGACTGGAAATTTTGCAGCATGCTAGGGACCACTGGAGCTAAATGTTGCATGGGTTTTTATAAGCTACAATTTAAGCTATCGATGTCTCTGTGCGTGCATGTCGCTGAAAGTCAGTCAAAATGTAATCTTTGAGTGGCTGAAATATTTCATTCAGCTCAAGTAATGTTTTGTTTTTCAATACATTTCTAGTTCTTTGATCTGAATATGCATAACAAAAGATTTGAATTCTTAATGAATCAGCAAGACATCTTCTGGGGAAACGGGAGTTCACCTTCAGTATACGATCCCCAGATCCATTCAGCTACTGAAGAAAAGGTAGCAGGATTGCTACTTGCCTCCCCCTGAATAAATCAAAGTAGTGGAAACATGAACAAATAATTTCTCCAGAAGTTTTGAGCATGGCTTTGGATTCAGAAACCTTTATGGGTGCCAGAAGTCTCAATCTGAGACATCCCATGCTTCTGGGGATGCATAGGCTGTGTTACATGTCTACATCATGTTGCCACAGTTCCACAGTGTTTGATGTGTCTCTTCTATGCAAAATCACCGTTTAATGTTCACTTTTTGTAAGGCCAGTGGTAATTAGCCTCATCTGCACTGCAGTGGGTGGCTATCAATTTTGTTAAACAGTTCAGTACTCATCGTTTCTCATAGAATGGAGGACATGAGGGGATACAAGCGCCCAGGCAGGCGTCCTGTACTTCCAGAGCATAGCAGTGGTTGAAGTAGGCAGATAACTTGCCTACACTAAAAGGGGAATTTTTTCATTTAGCAATTGCATTCTAATGTCCCATGACCCATAAGATGTTCTGCTGACTTTTCAACACATCCCTGCCCTCATCAGGTAAGCCACAATATCTGACGGGAAATCGCTGCATCTTTTCGCAAATGTATTTTATTAGTTTATAAAAATGCAGTTTATAAAAACTGAAAAATGTTCAGTTTTTCAATAATCAAATGAGGAAAAAGGATAGGGGAAAATGATTTCATTTACTGTGCATGATTCTATCTATTCTTTTTGTCTACAAACATCCTTTCTTACAATGTGAGGTAGCACGTACCAGGCTAAGGAACATAAGACAGCTAATTCAATAAAAATATGTGCAGAGGGAGAAACAGAAGGCACAAATTTAAGACATCGGTTTTGACAAAGGACAGCAGCAAAATTAGGCATTTAATACAGATGGACTTGAGAAAACCTATATGCAGGTTCATTAGATGGCAGCAGATAAAACACTACAGCTATGCTACAACCGGTAGGAAACTTCAGGAACAAAATGTTTTTTAAAAACAACAACACCCGGGAAGGACAGCCTGCTTATCTCACTTTATAAATTGGTTAACTATGCCACAACACCCGATTTTGGTTGTGTGCCTAATTTAACATCCAATTGATTCCAACGGACTCTTGTTCAAGTGTCTGGATCTGTATAAAAGCTATTTCAGTTGACATGGTCACAAATACAATTACTGCAATGATTCAAGGATTTCATTTAGAATAATAAGTAAACAGCTGCATCTCTACATCCTGCTCCTTGAAAAAAAAAGTTCTAATATGTTTCAAGGTTAAGTTGCCTGTCAGTGATTAAAAATAGCTACCACGTCTTCGTTAACAGCCAGATTTGGTCCCCTCTTGGCAAATCAATGGCGCAAAATTGCCCCTTAGTTTTAGGGACATCCACCTGTGCTAAAAGGGGTGCTCTGTGAAGTCAGCATTCTTCATAGTGACTATTATTACAAACCTATCGTATGAGGTATACCTTATACTAAGAAACCAGCTTTGTTGAGCAACAGCTGATCTCAGCAGGAAAAACAAAGGCAGACAATCCTGGCACTGGTGGGTAGATGCTTCCCTGTGCTGTTATTCAGAAATCAAATTGATGCCAGGGCAAGTGTTCTAAACTAACATTCTAGGATTTCTATAAGTGAACAATATGGATATTGCATAATTCTGCATTTTATAATCTCAAAACTACAGGAGGCCCCAACAAGATCCCTAAGTGTCTTGCTTGCTTTCTGAGATTCTTAAACATTGTTGTTCCTAGCAACTAGAAACTTTTTAAAAAGAGAATACTAGGTTTCTTTGGACACTGATTTCTACATACATCAAGCTCTGGTTTGGTTTGGTTTTTACTCTTGGAGAACAGCAATAAGTGGCACATAATCAAAGCAGTAAGCCTGCTGCTGTCAAAACTGCCCTTAATCTTTCTCTTGGACTGTTGCACTGCTATCCAGTTGTTCTAAATATGGGCAGTCCTTAATATGATTACACAGAAGTCTAACCATCTTCAGCAGGATTGAATTTCAAGGAAGCATGAATAGGGTTTGCAGCTTTGGTCAATTAAGGTGACCGAGAATATTTATTTCAGAATCCTTGGGGAAGCGTTTGTTCTTTAAGTTGCATTATTATTATTACCAGTATATCAACTGTTTTAAAATGCTTATTCCTCATAGTATAGTTACGCAGCTGAAAAAAGTTACTACAGCAGAGTTAGCTGGGATTTGAACATGCCCCCTTCTTCCAGACAATAATTGAGCTTTGTTAAAATATGTGCTATGTTCAGGTCTTACAGCGTGTGTGTTTTGCTTATAGTTAATACATACAGCGTGAAAGTCTGCCATGCATTATTGGATTTAAATTCAAAGGCTCTGTTCTGTGTCACTGAAACTTACTATTTTCTATTGGCCCAACTGCTCATCCTTCTTGTATTAACAAGGATAGCTAGTCAGGAAGATCTCCATAAATTTGCTGGGTTTTTTTCTTTTTTAAATCACAACCCAAGATGTGATCTGCTGAGGAAGACACAATGCTATCATAACCTAGATTTTGTTAAACTGCTAGATATTTGAAGTTTCCTAGAAGTGACTTCACCACTCTTAAAAAGAAGGGTGGGGTGGGGGAGAAATGATACTTGTTCAGGCCAGCATTCCGGGCAGCCTAATTTAAAAGCACAAACACAATCTTGCCTTGTCTGAGGCTTAAGAAAAGACTACTGCAGGCTGTGCCCTCTGCTTGGAAGCTTGTCATGCAGAGTACACGACGACAAACTAAGATAAAGAGCAAGTCAACGACCTCAAAGCATTTTACAGGAATTAAGCAGTTGATGAGTTTGGGAGAGCGGAAGGAAAGAGGAGCATATTTAAATATGAATGATGATAGCTGGGAATTTGCTGAGAAAAAGGTAGCCATTATAGGGCCAGATCCACAGAACTCTGCCCTGACAGTGGAGCCACAACACTCAAAACCCAGGAAAAGAAGTGGCAGCCGACTGATTCATGGGAATTGCCTCAAAGCCAAGCTGCTTTGTAGCAAGCAATTCCTTCCAGAATTTGGCAACAGAGGGAAGCAGCCCAGGCCGATTTTACACTCATACATCAAAGGAAATCTGCTTCATGACAGGCACCCCAAGTAATGCTCTATCTCCCTCTGGATCTATGCATTACTCACTCCTCATGACTCAGATCTGATAGGCTTTTATTTATGACAAAGTTAAGTATGGAGATTCTGATCCCAAGGAGAAAGTTCTGAGAAAAATCACTGCAGTCACATATCTCTGCTGAGCCATTCCTTCAACAGAATATTTGCTTCATCCCACCCTGTAAACACTCCCCAGGCAAAGACTTCTCAAAATGCACAACCAAGGGGGAGATTGCTAACCTGTGGCACATTGAAGCAGGGCCTAACTTTTAGGCATATTAGTTTAGACCTCCACCCACCCCCCAAAACATTTATTCATTTTATGAGTTTACATGGATACCCAGCCCTTTCCATAAAAATACACATATTGATCCACTAGTGTTTCTCTCACACTTCCCCAAAGTTGCATCGTCACCAAACTGCACATTCACACCCACCCCAGAATTTTTAGCATCACACTTAGGATGAGCCCAAGCCTACAGGGTGTAAAGGAGACACTAGCAAGAGCTTGTTCAGTCCCTCCACAGAAACCTAGCCAGAAAGTGGCACTCTCTTACTAGCCTTGGCAATCCTGCACCCACGTGGTTTGTGCAAATAGTGCTTTTAACAAAAATAAAATTTCCTTGGGTAACTAGAAAGGAGACGGGAGGGTTTACACCAAGCTAGGCAATGCAAAATTAGTGTTGATGGAGTGGGAAAAGGGAGGGTTTGGGATATACCCATATTGGGGATATAGGCAAGTACAGCAGCCAGGAATTGAGTTGTTTCATGCTTGGAGCTGGTTCACTGAAGATTCCAGCTAAATTTCTTCCCACAAACTGTCCGGAGACGTGATGCTTAATTTGCTCCTCTCTCACATTCACCCTGGAAGCTTCATCTTCACTGACCCTCAATGGATACAGCCACTCATGGAACAGAAATATATGATGGAAGACAAACCGTAGTTTTGAAGAGACGGGAACTGTTTCTTCAAAGCAGAAGCTCTCGGCCTGCTAATGCCGTTTTCCAGACTCGTCTTGCAGAGCAGCATACAGAGGTAGAACTGAGTAAACTGAAACAGCTAGTTAGGTCACCGAGTGGCTTTGCTGATTTAATTACTCCCAAAATATCCTGGCTGCTGAACTTCTGAAGTGCTTGTAAATCAAAACATCCGCTGGTAGGGTAACATTTGAGTTTTGAAACTGGTATAAAATCGTCTTGGAAGGCTGGACGTTACAAGCTGGACATTAAAGAAAGCTTCAGTGGACCTGCAATAGGAAGGACCACTCTCTTTCCCCCTCACATTCTTTCCTATCTCCAAATACTTTTATTAAGAGCAACATCTGTTTTCTAAAATAATCCCAACCCCAAAAGAAAGCCTTTCTTTGGCCCCCATCATTCCCTCAAAAAGGCACTCACTGAACAGCTAAGTGGCTGCCATTTCTTTCTCACCTAACCCAATGATGAAAAGGAAAGGCAGAAGAACCCAATGTATCAACGACTGCCAAAGCCACCCATAGGGCAACAACTGTAGGCCATTCTCTTTTATCAAGAAGCGGGCTGTTAAGTTATTTTCCTTTAAAATATGTTTTAAGAGGCACAATTTTCAACTGGTCTTCCTTAGGCCCACTGAGAGAACTTAATGAGTTTTTGCTACCTCTTTCTCAAGAAGTCAAGGAACAGCACAAACTACAACCTAAGGCAGCCACAGTGATATGGTTCATAGAAAGAAGCTTCAAATAAAGTATGCTAAAAAGAAAAGACAGAGCATAAAAGCCCGGTCGAGTAAAACAAAAGTGAAGACTGAGACGTTGCTCCAGAGGTAGCATGGCACTCTGACCTTTTCCTTAGGAATAAGTCTTGGTCATCACACCAGGCCCAGTGGATAAATTAAACAGGATATCAGGAGAAACCAAATAAATAAGATAAAAACAAACAGCTGGGGATGCTGCAAGCAAACACCCAGCTTCAAGTGTCCGCATGGTGACCAAAGCAGCAGGCACTCTTCACGTCTGGTGCACTTTGTGGAACATGAGTTCTTGAGGAATGTGGGTCTCGGGGCCATAAGTCTTCGCTGCCCGGCGCTCAAAGGCTGCCACCATCTGCTTTACTACCTCATCGAAAAAAACTGTAGCCAACTGCGAGTGCAGCAGAGAACGAAATTCAAAAGAGATCTGAGGAGAGAGAACAGCACATTGGACTACCATGAAGATTCATTTTTCCACAGTGGAGCTAGGGCATTTTACAATGAGAAACCCCCTTCCCTTCATTCCAGAGGAAGGGCTAGCAAAGATTTGCTGCGGAAGAATAATTTTGAAATTACAAATCAGGAGAGACTGCAGAAAGCATTCTCGAGAACAGCAGGAATAACAAAAGCATTATAAAACCTATGTACCACTATTTGCTAAACACTGATGAGGCTCCAATACTTTTTTTTTTCCCTACAGAAATTGCCCAGGGGTGTATTATTGTGAAAATAAATTGGGATGCCCCATCCGACAACTACTCTGTGCTGATCCATCTCTAGTTGGGTCTTGGGGCAGAGGCAGAAAGAAAGGACAACCTAGTCTCAGCTGGACATCAAGAATGGCCCTAAGCACAGAGCGATAGTGTCCACCTCGATGACACAGAACCCCAGAGTTCCTATTTATGACATGCATGTAACCAAAGGTTGACTATTAGAAATACCGCTTTTCTCTAAGTCAGAACTGCCAGAGAACTAAATCAGCAACTGCCATAAATGCAGCACTTGGCTGACTTGTTCATACTTCATCTATACTTAACACTTAGCCTTATATACCGCTTCACAGTACTTTAAAGCTCTCTCTAAACGTTTTACAGAGTCCCCATATTGCCCCCAGCAATCTGGGTTCTCATTTTACCCATCTCAGAAGGATGGAAGGCTGAGTAAACCTTGAACAGGTTAGGATCGAACTGCTGGCAGTTGGCAGAATTAGCCTGCAATACTGCATTCTAAGCACTGCGCCACCACGACTCTGGTGGCTCCTTACATTTTGTCTATAAAACCAAGATTTATAGTGGAAATGGGTTTGGCAAGGGAGATCTTTGTAGCTAAGGTTGTAACCTAATGGGATGTGTGGTACAGGAGTTCCATACTCATCCAGGTATTGGGATGGTTTCTTGCTTTTACACATTATAGCTCCACTACTAGAGGAGCCACAGGGGCATCTACTAGGACAGAGGTATCAAACTCTATTTCACTGAGGGCCGCATCAGGGTTGTGTATGACCTGCGGGAGCCAGGGTGGGCATGGCCAGCTAAACGTCACTTGTGTTGAGCCAGGTGCCTGTAGCGGCCCAAGCGCTCGCCCAGCAAAAATGGGCTTCCAAGCTCGGTTTCCGGCTGTGACAGCCTGCAGCCGCCAGTCAGCGAAAGCTCCATTTTCACTGGCAGAGGTACTACTGATCGGTTCCTTGCTGTTTCCAGGGTGGCCCCACGGGCCAGATCTAAGCCCCCAAGGGCCCCGAGTTTGACACCCCTGTACTAGGACTAGGTGGACTGCCTTTGGGAAGTATAGAGCTTGAAGGCCAGAGAAGTAACATACCTCAATGACCTTGGAGTTCCCTACTCTGCTTCAAGGAATTCATTCAACAGCTCTAGGAAAAAGGGGTTTGTGATAGGAATGCTCAATACCAGAAACAGCTCTGCCATCAGAATATGATTCTGGCTCCTTCACAACTAGGATCTTACAGAGGCTCCTCAGTGATAATGGAAGGTCCATCTTTTTTAAAAAGCCTGATGGATGCAGGAACCCCATCATCATCAGTCCTCATTTATGCAAGAACTAATGAGATGATGAGGAATCCCATTAGCCTTTGTGTGCTTACTGCGAAGTCCAGGGTGCACGTGCGAGGATAACCTGGAATGCCAGGACTGAAACGCCAGCTTGTCTCCAAATGATTGAAAAGCTTCCCATCAGTGCAGACTGCCTGGGGGAAATAACAGCAAAGATTCAGGTTGACAGCAAAGCTCACACAGCATGAATTAGCCAAACTGATGCCTTCCAGACATGTTAGACTACAATTCCCAGAATTCTCCTCAACATGGAGGACAGCAAAATAGAGAGGGCCAATCAAACACAAGAGTTCGCACTCTAATAACAGCAGCTCTGGATAACGATTTACCCACCAACCTGCATATGAAACAGGTATCTCATGTCTGGCTCATGAGTATGTTGCTTCACATGTCACATTTATGGCAAAGGACTTCCTGTTGAGCACTTTTGATATTTTAAATTTCTATTAAGTGTTTCTTTCAATGCCAGTGTCACCACGTTCATCAAACCTCCCTCCAAATTATCTGAGGCACCAGGAAAAATTATTAATTGTGCAATGCTTGTTATTATTTTGCCATTGCAACGCTGAAATATCATCAGCCTGGATAGCCCATAGATACACAACTCACCTTTACCAAGTGGGGTTGCACCAGTGTCACGATAGAAGTGTAACGTTCCACAACAGGAGGGAATCCAACTTCCAGCTGAGCCTTCACGTGACCTGCTCGCTTAGAGACCACAGTTGATTTTTTACACCATGGAACAAATTCCTTATATTCATTCACATTGGCCACAACACCATACATTTCCTGCATGGAATAGCTGCAAATAAAGAGAGTGACTCTTTAAATTATGTCCACAATGATGCACAAGTCCACAATGACACAAGCACATGCGCATCAAAGGATGTTGGAATATTTATTATGCCGTGGAACATAAAAAAATGAAACTTCCACAACTGCAGTTCTTCTCCTTTTCTCAAATCCAGGCTCTTGTGCTTTAAGAGAACAAAAGAAAATAGAATGGATGTTTCATTTATTTATTCTCTTAGATTCCCATTGTATCTAAGAGAACTAACGTATAAGAAATAGAGCCTGGCTCCTATGATTGATATATTCTGCTGTTTGAATATTTTATGCATTCTGTTATTCAAGACAGGCAGTAAAGTATTTAATATAATATCTGCCTCTTTCCAAGTCTTGCAAAATTCTGAATCTTACTCATTTTTTACTTATAGGCATCTATATTAAAAAAGAACTTTGAATTAATTTATTACAGTATATAAGACAAAATTGGTTAAAAATGTGGAGTCTTCTAAAAACAAAAATAAGTCTGCCAACTCACCATTAGCTTTATTGTCAAATGCCTATTTCAAGGACAACTGATCAGTAAGAAAGGTTTAATTACTTATGCGCATATGGTACAGTACATATTAAAGACATAGAGAAAACTGTTCAGCATAGGTACAATTTACTATGATTGGCATATTTACAAATTATTTGGAGGATAAAAAGTGATTTCAAGAAAGGAAGAAGAATTTGGAGAAAAATACAGAAGTTGGAGGACTTATACAAACCCAAGATCATCTACTGGGACTATTATAACTATAAATGGTTATTGAAATATGATGGAACAAATAAAAAAATTGTATGATAAAATCAATGCAAAGCTTCCAAAAGAAGTAATCATAACACAATGAGAAAAGTAGAAATATTTAGGTTAGCTGTTAGGAAACAAACGGAAAGGAAAGGGAGAAAGTGTGACTTAAATATATTTCTAGTATCTTTTTACTCTTATTTTTTTTCTTTATACTCAGTATTCTTAACTTTCTAAAAATCTGGTTAAAAATTTAAATTAAATTAAATTAAATTTAAAAATATAAAAGCAATAAGATTTTTGATACAGAGAGAAGGAAGCGGAAAAAATGGAGCAGGAGGAAGGTAACAGAAGGAGAGAAGGTCATTGGGATTCTCTTTTGATCAGCAAATTCTGCCAAACACTTTCCCTGTTTATGAAACCGCCGAAGAGCTCTAACAAAAGATCTCACAATCTTGGATATAATTGCAGCAGTACAGAAGCCTGCCACAAATAAAGAAAATCTTTCCAAATCACTCATCAATTGCAAGCAAAGTTCAGCTCTCTTTTTGATAACACATTCCTTACTGCTGCAGAGGAAGCTGGGCAGAATAAATATACAGTAAATGGAAAATATTCATAGAAGATAAGGCTAGAAAGGGCTACTGGTCACACAATCACGGTGTGTCATCTATAGATTCCAAGCATCAAGACAGCTGGGAAGAATAACAAAACAGCCACCCAAGTTAATTTTTCCCTTCCCATGAGCTGGGCAGAAAAATTTAAGCTAATGGATCCCTGATTGCGTATTCTAAACGAATAACAGCCTCGGTAAATCTGCAGATAACAGTTCCTTTTCTGGCTCTTGATTATACACCTCCAACTTTGCATATGCATGGGAAGATAATACCTCCTGGAGAATGTAAGGGGATTGGTGGTACTGTTACGTTGAAGTAGGCAGCCTGCAGTTTCCTCGAGATGTTGCTGATTATGTACAGTACAGGTAGTCCTCAACCTACGACCACAATGGAACCCCAAATTTCCATTTTTAAGTGAGACATTTGTTAAGTGAGTTTTGCCCCATTTTACGACCTTTCCTGCCACAGCTGATAAGGGAATCATTGTAGTTGTCAAGTTAGTAACCCGGTTAAGCAAATCTGGCTTCCCCATCGACTTTGCTTGTCAGAAGGGGATCAGATGACCCAGGGACACTGCAAACCGTCATAAATAGGAACCCATTGTCAAGCATCCAAATGTAAATCACATGACCCTGGGTAATGCTGCAATGGTCATAAGTGTGAAAAAATGGTCTTAAGTGTGAAAAATGGTCATAAGTCATGTTTTCAAGGGCTGTTGTAACTTCAAAAAGTCACTAAACCAACTGTTGTAAGTCAAGGATTACCTGTATTGCTTTAGCTTCCTGTAAGATTTGGTTGGTCACTGTGGGAAAGAGGACACTGAATTAAGGCAGACCGTAGCTTGGATACCACAGATCTTGCCTTGTGTTTTTATCCTTTTCATCAGAAATAGGTCCTCTTTGGTTGCTTTGGGCGATGAACTTTCTGGCCTTAAAAACCCAGAGTTCTATATAGTTTTTTAATTACCAAAGGAAATGATGCTTGTGTAGGTCATGCAAAACGATATTCGAGATGTGTACATTTTCCCTCCATCACAAAACCACCCTCCTGCAAGCCATGTCAGCTCACCCAATGATCCTCCTCTCTGAATATTCCTTCCGTTTGTTGATGAAAGGTCCTGTAAAGCTGATAAATGTCCGGCTGTGCTGACCACTGAGATCCCAATCAAGACTGCTGATAGTATGAGGGTCTCGGATCACCAGATTTCCACAGCATGGCATATACCTGGAACTGAAAGATCCTCAGGATTAGCTGGCCTGAATAGAAGTCTACCAAACTTTCCCAGAGGCTACATTCAACATCCGTTGATCTTGAAAAACCTAACAGAGGTGTCACCCACCGATTCAAAAAGCTGCAAGTAAAGTTAAGTTACAAGCATGACCTAGCACGGCGTCCTGGACTGAAATCCTACATGTGCATTGTGGGTAAATCCTCATAGATAATATAACGTGGGGAGGGAAATTCTGATTTATCTTCAGTTGATTTTAACAACCATACGAAATACACACAACACATACTACCAATGTGGAGTAATTATCTTCGAAGGGCAAATGCTCTTGTTTCTCTTGAAAAAGTTGTGGGGGGGGAGGGGTTAGAGGAAAGGGACTCTAAAAGTTTAGTCTATGAATTTCAGAGGGCCTCTGATTATCTATTTCTGGTTCTGAACCTCTTGTAATCTCTATCTGCAATTCCTCAGATTATCAGCTCTGTGCGTGTGAAAATTAAACTTAATAGCATTGGGCAAACATTGCCCTTCTCCCCAAAGTACAAGTTATTCAACAGAGTTACTACAATCTGAATTTCATCATAAATGTCAGGATAAATTGCACATGTCAATACCATCCTTCACTCCTGCAGAAATTGGGAAAGTGAATTTGATCACATATGCATTTCTCTAAATCCTTGGCTGCTGCCTCCCACCCCGCTTACTTTACAACTTGTTGTCAGGGAGCAATTTTAGATACAAGTTCAGTGCTGTTAAAGAAGACTGGCTAAATGTGTTTTCACAGACAGCAAGTCACTAATTAATAGTCACTTCTCTTCTCCTTTCACCTTGCAGCCCCACCTGTTGCCACCGCTGATCACCTGCTGTTCAGGCTGACCCCAGAAGATCAGACTCAGCAACCTGAGAGGTACAGGGAGAAATCCCAAATAGTACCATGGAGGTACAATTCCCCAAAATTGGAACTGTCTGCTCCCCAATGCAGAATAGTCTAGAAGATGGTGTAGAAGAATCATGTCACCTCAATCTGAATTGGCCAATGGTGCTGGGCTGATCCCATCTCCAAAGATCCACTCTTTACAACACAGAAAGAATGGTGCATCTGATTGAATCCATGGCAAAAGTTGTATCAAAATAAAGGGGGAGACTACTACTTTAAGGATGCCTCTATGAGGCCAAAATTTTGAGGACACAATACAAAAAAAGAAAAGACATTGCTGAGATATAGTTGTGTTGCAGTTAGATGCAACTGAGGATAGGATCTGAGATGTTGGCCTCTTCACCTCTTTTGCTTTTTGGATGGCAAGGTCTTTCTGCCCAAAAAACCTGACATTTAGCAGCTGACTCCCAACTGGATCTATTAATCAAATTAAAACTTGAATTAAAGAAGGGGGTAGCAATTTTCCTCCTCGGTTTTCTATGATGCTTCCTCAAATTCAGCTGGGAGGAATGAGCAGCCAGGCTAATGCAAAGCCTTTGCATTTCCTTCCATGTTGGCCTGTTCCTATCTTGTTTGCAGGCTTAACTTACATAATTATTGCCAGGGTACCCTCCCCCAGCAGCAGCTAAGCTGTTCTTTCAACAAGTTAAATATTCAGGATGCCAAGTGAAAAGCCTACCGACGAAAAGAGGGACAGATTTCCTGTCAGATTTGATGTCACCAGAGGTTTAAAAAAAAAAAGTCTTTTGCTTGGCTCGACAAGCTTGCAGGCTACTTAAAAACAATGAATTGAAGAAAAGTCCTTGACCTTCTTTGGCCTAAATGTCTTCATGCGCAAGATGGGTCTGCGATAATTTTTTGTGTCGGAAAGCAGCAGATTTTCTTTATCACGACCTTTTCCAATCTAGTACCCTTGAGGTGCAGTGGACTCCAATTTCTATCATCCACATGCTGGCTGAGCATAATAATACTTGCAGCCTAACACATCTGGAGAGCTCCAAGTGAGAAGCTGCCTTAAATGCCTTTTTCAGTGGGGAGGTGCGGGGAAGAAAGGGGAAACAATAAAATGTAGCAATATACCACCGTACGATGGATGTCACTAGAGCCAAGGTAAAAAGAGGAGTGGAATTCTACCTTTGAAGGCGTGCAAAGAGTATATTGCAGCATATTCAAGGACAAAAAAGAATGCAGAAAGAATGGCAATTACAGAATAGCTGCCCGGCAGGTTAGCTAAGACATTTACTTGGGAACATTGCCAAGCAAGCCATCGTGAATAGGAACGTTACGTAAAACAAGTTAAAGCAATAGTAATGTCTTCATCTGGCATAATCACTTGAAGGAAGGAAGTTTTAAATGCCGTCAGTTTGTTCCCCACAAAGTTAACTGTGACGCTACACTGCATCTACCAGCAACAGCGAATTGTGGGCATCCGGAGAATCCTTATCTCAATCTATGCTTTGCCTGGAGATGTTTCGCCAGCCCCTAAGCGTGAAGGTGAAGTCTCTCCCTGGTGCAACAGGATAGTCAACAGTCTATCTATAGCAAACAGTCAGAGGGAAAGACATGAAAACTGCAGGGTAATAAACATTCAGGAATTGTTAAGCCCGTAAGCCTTTTGGTGCCATTGCCAGAGGATAACTCAAATATTTCTAAAAATGATGTGGAGGAAGCTACTATATCTAAGTAAGGTTTCTAATTTAAGAAACTGGATTCACATATCATGCTAAGGCATACAGGTGGTCCCCGACTTACAGCTACAACTGAGACCCAAATTTCTGCTGCTAAGTGAGACAGTTGTTAAGAGTGAGTTTTGCCCCATTGGACGACTTTTCTTACCGCGGTTGTTAAGTGAATCAGGACAGTTGTTAAAAGTTAGTAACGCGGTTGTGAAGTGACTCTGGCTTCCCCCATTGACTTTGCTTGTCAGAAAGTCGCAAAAAGGGGGATCCCATGGCTCCCGGGACACTGCAACCGTCATAAATGCGAGTCAGGCGCCAAGCGTCTGAATTTTGATCACGTGACCCTAGGGATGCTGCAACGGTTGTAAGTGAAAAACAGTCATAAGCCACATTTCTCAGGGCCATTGTAACTTTGAATGGTCACTAAACAAACGGTTGCAAGTCAAGGACTACCTGTACTTTTGTCTGAGTTTCTTGCATAGGCTATTATTACCCTAGCTCATCCATATTGCTAAGGTGTAACCTATGATTCATATATAAATGGTAACTGTGGTTGGAGTCAATCATCCTGCTAAGCCAAAAGTAAACAAACCACATTGTGAATTAAAACAACATTTGCACCTAAGTCAGCATCATGGAATTCTTAAATAGTAATGTATTTCTCTCTAGCCCATCTCAAAAGATCATTTTAAATTTATTTCTTTATAATATTACCTGTTAATTGCCGCTTCCTTTTTTTTAACCTAGGTAAAATTAATTCCCCAAATAAAGCATTTTACAACTTGTTAAAAATTCCAAGTTTAAATACCTACTTATTAATTAACATCATTCCAATAAAAATCTCAAATCTCTTCAAACACATCCGGTTAGACACACATAACGTGCTTCCAAACTAACCCCCCACAATTGCCTGCAATATTCAGAGAGAAAAAAAGAAGCCAATAAATATTAGAAGAGCCGTGTATATCGTTTCTCACTCCCATGACTACATTATATATTATTTAGGAAGGCTTCTCAAGAACAACTTTAAACTTGTAACTTTAAAACTAAGTTCCAAGACTCATATGGAAAAATAGTACTTTGGAATATGTTCTCATTGGGAAACCAAATCCAAAACCAAATCCTGTTTGGAAGTCTTTTGCAAACATTATTGCAACAGTACAATCAAAAGGTTATGTATTCAAAGTGTTACTGGACACTTTATTCTCAGTTTATTTTTTAAATGTTTGAGAAGATTTTTCTGGGGAAAATGAGTCTTGGTAAGGATCATTCATTTCCAGATCTGAGATAACACAGCAAATAAATATTAAAATATCCATCAAGATTATAAAAAAAAAAATCTCCTCTAGAAGACATGAATCCATTCAATTTATTAGCTCTTACTGTATAAAAGGCCTATGAACTTTACAAAAATAATTTCATTCCACATAAGAGAGGAAAACTCAAACATATCAAGCTGTAGACTGAATATATGGGTGAGTGCTGATGTGAACTAAGGATAGCTCATAGGTCATGCACCTGAAAATCCTGTTAATTTATCACATGAACCTAGAACAACAACAATGTCCCATTGCCTTTAAAATTGGTTTAAAGCAGGGGCCTTCAAATTTGATAGCTATAAGACTTGTGGACTTCAACTCCCAGAATTCCTCCTCCAGTCATGTTAGCTCATGACTGGAGGAGGAAGTCCACAAGTCTTAAACTTGCCAAGTTTGAAGACCCTTGGTTTAAACAAATAGGGAACTGAAACCTGTAGTTCAGGGGTGTCAAAAATCACATTGTCAAAGCGGCATCATGTGACGTATCAGGACTTTTTCCCCCTTCACTAAACCAGGTGTGGCCAGCCTGTGACACATCTGGCCAGTGGGCTGGGAGTTTGACATTCCTATAGTTCAACATCTGGAAAGCCATATACTGTACTTCGAATCTTGTCCTTATGGTGACTAAAGGCCATTGTACCTACAACAAAATGGCCCTTCTCACTAGGTTATACAATCACATTTTAATTCATAGAAGGCTAAAAAGGGCTACTGGGATCTTCATAATTTAATTCATACATGTGTATGGATTAAATATGATATGAGTTTGTAACTATTGACTCTGTAAACTCTCTGCATGATAAAAAAAAAACCTTGCTCTGGGATATTACTGGTCATTAACACAACTACAGAAAAGCATGATCAGTCACACATATATTGCATACAGCGTGCTTCCTCTTTGGAAATTCATTTAGCGCAGAAATAAAGAATACCGATTATTAGGAAGAAGTTCAAAAGGTATAAGCATTTGGGCACAGTGGGTTTCAGTGTCTGTAATGGAAGTGACTCTGTTGGTACCTGTTTTTCCTCAACTCTATAACATTTCATCTTTAGGTGTTTGCTAAGAAACCTTTCCCAAATAAAAAAACCAAAAAGCAAAATGCAGCATTGTCCAGTTAGCTCCCTTTTCTAAGCTTAGAAACTTTTTCAAGTTGCTGCTAGAACTAAGGCAGGGCTTTAAAGCTTTACCAAGCCAGCAGGAATCCATCAGTCTAAAAGCCCCAAGTAATTTTCTTTACAAAAATTATAGATCAGCACAGAAGCAAGTATGCACATTCTGAGTTCTTTGTTACTATTTCAAATAAACCAGAGTTACATGAATAAAAAACAATTTCAATATGTTTCATAGAGTACTTCAGCTGAAAATGTTCTCAAATGGACCTTGATGCTTACTGTCTATGTGTGGTGTAATGGTTAAGATGTTGGATTAGGACTGAGGAATCACAGCTTCAAGTCCACCCTCAGCCAGTGAAGCTGATTGACTGACTTTGGTTCAGTTAGTGTTTTTCAGCCAAACCTACCTCATAAGATTATTATTGTGAGGGAAAATGAAGGGTGGAGTGTTATGTATGCTATCTTGAACAGATAAACATATATGTCACTCTGAACTTGCAGAAGGCAGGATATAAATCTAACAAATTAAAAGGTGCTGCTTTGACCATAGTACAGAAATGATTTGTCACCATTTTCTACTACAAAATTTTATACTTTCCAGTGTAGCTTACAGCTCCGTGATTCTGATGGTTTCCCACCCAAGTAGACCAAACAGATTCAGCCTTACTTCTAAGTCAGTTGATGCCATCTGCCAAAACATACAAGTCACACAAAGGCAATAAAAACTGATACAAAGACCCAATAATGCAACCCAATACTATTTACCAATATAAAACATTTTATACCCACACAAGAAGAGATGAATGAATAAAGCATAAATTCATCATGGGAAAAAAATTAACAGCTACCAGGTTTGCTCCCTTTCCACAAACTTGTTTAATCCTCTATCGAGAGATGTAACAAGACCTCAGGGATTTATTTAAATAAATTGTTCCATGAAAATCACATGCTCTTAGGCTTACCATTTAACATAATAAAAAAAGGAGCACAAACTGAAACAGCTGCCAAAAAAGCATTACTAAAGTAGCCACAGTTGTCAGAAGTGTAAAAACAAGCAGAGAATGACCATATAAAAAACAATAATCTAGAACTGCAGTGGCACATAGGTTTCTGTCATGTTAGAAGACAGCATCATTGCCCTGAACTACAAAGAGGTTGCCATTTATACATACTACTCTTTACTTATAAAAATCCCAACCCTTACTGGAGGCGTAATCATTTCCATTTACTTCCTTCATACATGTACACACATTCATTAATAGAAACAAACCTCTTACAACATCCAGGGAAAGCCAATCAGTAGATCAACAGATACTTATTATCTCATACTGTAATAGTCCTACTTTTATTGCCCCTGGGCTCTGATCACCGTTATCACCAGTAACATCCCCATAAAGTCCCCACAGGATCCTTCTAACTCGGGAGCCACCCTTTCCCATTTTAACCTCTACGCTTTTTTCCATTTACTCCTGCGATGACCTTCTACCAACGATGCCTTGTACTCCCCCTTGAACGAAGAGCAAGGAGTACAAGTGCTCTTGGTCTCTGTTGTCCTTGCCTAAAAAAACACTCAGCCTCCTTACACAAGATGTCCCAGAGCCTTGTTCAATTTCACCCATTTTTCCGAGGGGGGGGGTGTCACATGCTATTACACCACCACCCCGCGCGCCAATCTCAAAAACAGCCAGGGTACTTCCCACCCCAGCCCCCTATTGAGAAACGAGTCAAATCTTTTCCTATACACGCAACGCTTTTAAGGAACGGGAGATCCACCCGCTGGAATCTGCTCGCCAAGCCACCTGGAAAAAGCGCTCTAGAAGGAAGCCCGGCCAATAAGAAAAGGGGGCGACCCGAGCTCGGCTCCCCTCTTTTGAATGGGGGAGGCGGCTCGCTTTCTCCCCGAGGGTCCTTCACCCCGGTTCCTAACCCACAATGTCGGATTCCTCCTGTGCCCCCGCGCCCCGGCTCGATCCCCGCTCCGCTCACCAGCCAGCCGCGGTCGCCCTCGGTCTCAGCCCTCCCCGCACTCCCAGTTGCCAAATTTCCCGGAGCCAGCGAGTCGCCATGGAGGGCGGGGCGGGGGGGGGGAAGACCAGGTGGAAATGCCCCTCTTTCTCTCTCTCGACTGTATCAATTCCGCCAGCAAATAAGACAGGCACCGGCGTGAACTTTCACCTCCCCTCCCTTCCCCCCCCCCGTTCGCGTCACAATGTCATTGCGTCGCCCTGTCTATGTCACAGCGCGAGAGGGGGAAGAAGAAGAAAAAAAAGGGGCTGGAAAGGAAGCGAACGCAAGGCTTTGTGGGGGATGTGGTTCTAAAGGTTACGCCCGAGTGAATTATGGGAATTGCGGCTTCACTTCCTTTTGAGGGCAGCCGTCTTCCCAATCGTGGGATGTTTGTGATGATCGTTGGCTTCTTTTAAAGGCTCCTTTAACTCCAAAAGCTTGGATGTGGTTGCTGTTTGGAATGGGAAGCCATCTCAGAGCTGTGGAGATTGGGAAGGGGGGGGGGAAGTGGGGGGAGAACTAACTTTAAGCGGAGGGAAAAAATGGGAAAAGAAATTAGCAACCCATTTCCGAACTATTGTTAGCTTAAAATTATATATGCATACATGCTCTTTCCTCCCAGGCTAAGCCACATTTGCATAGAGTTGAAAACTACCGGTAGGCAAAAGAAATTAGACAGGAAGGGAAGAAAATACGGCTAAACTAAACCAACCTGGAATCGAGTCAATTTACTATACTACTACATTCCTTTCAATCCTTCAAAGCATTCTTAATTCAATTACTTCCATCAGCTAATTTGTATATTGCCGTTTGTTCTATAAGGATAATTAGCAAGAGCCCCAGGCACAATTTGTGGTAGGTTTTATTAAATGCATTAATACAGTCCTTAGTCAAACAGTGAGCCAATTATTTTGTGCAAAATCAGTGAGACAACATTACAAATGTTGTCTCAGCACTGAGAAATCACTTGAGAACCATCACTGAAAGTTCATTTGGACATAAGCTGCCTAATTATATTTTATTATTCTTCATTGATATGTAAGTCAACGTTGTACAACTGTCAGGAAGACAGCCCAGAACAGACCCTATCATCAGGAAAAGTGGTTTTTAATTTCTGTCCTACTACTTACTAGATTGGTTTAAAATAGCAACAGCCATCTCCCAGACATTCCCATCTACTGGATGGCAGAGCTGTGTGATTCAGCTAATCTGCCATACCCAAGAGCTCATTTTGCTTGCTGCAAAAGAAGGACCTTTCTTTTTTTGAGGACATGAATGCACAATATCATCCCCAACCCAGGCACACTGCTAAGGAAGCCTCTGCTTATATTTTCTTGATATGCATTCTCAAAAAAAAAAACAACAACCCCAAAACAAAGTTATGGGTCATTTGAGTTGTACAGTACCAAGATAAAGTAACGAGTGGGAACTATGCTCTGCTCCTATAGACATCTGAGACTGCTGACAGTGCACCCGCCAGAGGTAGTATTCAGCAGTTTCTGACCAGTTCTGGAAGACTGGTAGCGGACATTTGAGTAGTTCAAAGAACCAGCAAATACTACCTCTGACTGGCCCCACCCCATCTATTCTCTGCCTCCCAAGTCCCAGCTGATCGGCTGGGTCTTCTTTTGTTGCCCTGCACAGGAGAACAGAGCTGGAAAGCAGGTTAGTGGGGTGGAGAGGGAATGGAGATTTTACAGTATCCTTCCCCTGCCACACCCACTAAGCCACGCCTACCAAGCCATGCCACACCCACCAAGCCACGCCCACAGAACTGGTAGTAAAAAAAAATTGAATCCCACCATTGGCACACTCATATAAGAGGGGAAAAAGAGAATCAAAATGAACACAAATAAGCATAAATAGCAATCCATCTTCAATCCTACTACAGATTCCCTGCCAAAGCCTTGATGATAAATAAGCTTTGTAGTAAGTTGTATAAAAGACCTGATCAGCAAGCAGAAAATCAATATAGAAACTGTCTGATTGTCCAGGGTTTTGTGGTTCGCCGGTACCCAGTGCAGCCGGCAGCAGAATCGGACAGTGAGGAAGAAAGGGAACCAGTCAGGGAGTCTGGAGAGGACTTGGATGAGGGTCCTGCGTCCGATGCAGGGATGGGGCCAGAACCATCTGGGAGTGGGGTGCTATCTTCGGAGCCTTCGGTGTCTGGGAGCAGTGAAGCACAGGACCCAGGGGAGCCTGTTCCCAGTGTGTGTGTGCGCAGAGCTGCTAGAAGGCGAGAGCAGCTGAAGCAGAAGGGGCGACTTGGGAGTAAGGCTGGGAGGTGATTACCCCTCCCATAAGGGATAAAAGTCAGACCTCAATGATGAATGTTTTGCAGGAAGCAAAGCAGTTCAATCAGATTCTGAATCCTTCTTGAAACTCTGTGTACTCTGGTCGTTTTTTTCTGATACTTGGGGGGGGGAGGGATTTCCTGTTATAATTACTTTGGAGACTTCTGTTTTTGGCAGCATTCCCCAGCACTGATAAGCATGGGCTTATCTTGGGGAACTGTAATTGGTTCTGGCTGGAAAATTAAAGTAATTCACAGTGTTGCATTAAAATAGGTTTTGCTTTTCAAGCAAGCTTGTGTTTCAGTATGTTTGACGAAGCCTGGGTCAGAACAGGGTTTGCTGCTAAAACAGGGAAAAAAATTTTAAAAACTGCATAATGCAATAATGTGTGTTGGTGACTTGTGGGGCACAGATGATGGGCCTTGGGCTTTTGGGAGATCTGCTCTGATACTGTATGGAAACAAGGATGTTACAAAAGCCCAGCAGTAGTTTGAGTAAGTTAGGAAGTAAATAGAGAGCCATGCCTCTTGGAGAGGTTTAAGCCTCTTGGCTTTCATAACAGAAACGTTAGGCAGTCAGTTCAAATTATACTGCTGCTCTGTTCTGTGTAATGGTTGGGCAGATCAAGTTTTTAGCCTGAGACCACCCAGATTTACAAAAAATGATCTGAGAAAGGCCATACAAATGGAGCTTCTGCCGTGTGGGCTGGAAAATATCCTTAAAACAGAATAGAGCAGCCAGCTGGGATGATCATCCCACTGGCATCATGATTTGTGCCAGGCCCAGACCCCTCATTCACATAACTAGCAGCCTAGCCTGCTTAGCATCTGAACCAAAGGTTCTTTAGGGTGCAGTAAAAAAAATACCAAGATGTTGGCCATAAAGGTGCAATGCATACATGTAACAGCGTTGCAAATACTTGACTTTTTTGACAACCTCCTGCAGACATTTCTAATCTGAGAGATTGTCACCTGCTTGTACGAAAGGTGAAACGATAAGGGAAACCATTGAAAACCCCCAAAACTGTAAACTACATTGGAAAGTAAGTAATTAACCACGAGGAAATCTTCAGAAAGTCAATGGAAATAATTTTTACCAATAGACTGCACAAAAATAACAGATAACAGATAATCAGAGTTGGAAGGGACCTTGTAGGTCATCTAGTCCAACCCCCCGCCCAAGTTAGAGACCTTACACCAAATATTAAGAAGATTCTTGGGAATCAAATTCAGCCTAAGGTACACATTATTTTTCTCAGAGCAAGGAACAGTTTGATTCAAATATTCTCAACTGAGGGTTTTCTGGGGGGAGAAGTGTGAAATTAGCACATCTGCTAATGACACATAAATCCTGGAATGTGCATATTTTATCACGATTTATGTACAAGTGCCTAATTAGGTACAGTATTTTTATTTTAATCAAACAGCATGTTTGAGGGTGTAAAATATATGTAACTATCTTCAATATTTATGTATTTTTATCCTTTATTATTATTATTTTAAAAACCTCCTGTTTTCCCCACAATAACCCTGAGGTGAGTTGGGCTGAGAGAGAGTATAATTACATATTTACATATACACTTATATGGATAGTCAGGAGCCCCTATACCATTCCAAACAAGTGTATATGTATATGGTATATACATATATATATGTGTGTGTGTATATATATATGGTATTCAGCTTTGTTCGGGTATTTTCCCATGTCATTGTAGTTGTGCTTTTAAAGTTGTAGCAACGTTTTGGCAGAATCTCACCTGCCATCATCAGGCTTCTGTACTGAGTTCGTCTGTGAGTCAGACTGTAAACAACTGAATACCATACACACACACACACACACATACCATATACATATACACTTGTTTGGAATGGTATAGGGGCTCCTGTCTGAGTAGGGGGTTGGACTAGAAGACCTCCAAGATCCCTTCCAACTCTGTTATCCTATTACTCTGTTACATAAATTAACAATAACTATATCATGTTTTCAAAAAGAAAGTACATTATATACTTAGACATTTTAATATGCCTTAACAAAAATAAGGACAAATCATTAAGATATTAATTATATATAATAGAGGTTTGTCTACAGAAAAGTCTATCTTGCATAAGAGTGAACAGTTATGATCTGTGTAACTGAGATCAATAACTGCTAATTATAAGAAAGAGTGGTGGTGCAGTTATGATTTACATTTAAGCTTAAGTTCACTTCCTGGCTTCTTCAGGGAAGGTTGGAAAAGATTCTCCTCTGGAACGAAATAGATACAAGAATGTGGTCACACAGGCAACACTTAACCAGTCAATTGAGATACAAACTTTTGTGAGCAGCACCCTTGTCTGAACTGCCACGGTCGGGCTCAGGTGGTAGCACACATAAGTGGGGCACAGAGAAGATAATTAAAATTTCATTGTATATTTAAATGTAGGGCAATGTAGGACAAATGTCGGAGAACAGACAGCCTGTAAAATATAAATAGCCTTCACAAAGAAAAAAAATCTTCTGTTTTGATTGTGGCAGTACCCAAGTCCTTTGACAGAGTGATTGGTAAGACTTAAATGATGAAATTATGAGTATTATTGGTGTAAATGACAGGAGGTATTACCAATCTCAGATTGTTTTGTAATAGTATTAAGGATTCTGGTCTCATAATGCTTCTCTCCCATCCTATATTATATTTTTGAAATAAAGTTGGCTTGGAGAACTAGATGAACAATTATATGTGGAAAATTTGGACAAACTAGAAATCCAATTCAGCTCAGACTTTAAGCTCAGATTCCCACCCCCCATTTTTTGCATGGGTTTTTTTCCCTTTATCAGTCAAACTAAAGCAAGCTTGGTTTCCAACCTAAATCAAGTTTTAAAACTAACACCATCTGTAATGCAGATCTATATTTACAAGATGAATTTTAAAAAACTATTCATTTTATTTGTGGCAGTTCAGTCTCATTTCCCAGTTGTACATAATTCTGACTGTTTGAAAGTGAAATGTGCAATTCCTTTTCAGAGCAGCTCTTTTGTCAATGTGTTTTGTCTATTGCAATGTGTCATAGCAAGCAAATCCTAACGTTTGCTCTGCATTGGGAGATTTCCAGAAGGAGTGCTCAGGGATGAACTGAAACATGGAGAGTTATGGGTCCAATAACAGGATTTAAAAAAAGGTTCTTAGTCCCACAACTTCCAACCCCTCCTCCATGAACTCTTCTGAATCACAAATTCCTCAGGAAATCCAACAAGAGCCATCTCGTGCCATGTCACGTGGCAATATAACCATAACATACATTCCTTCTTCGGCCTCCACTCTATCAACATAATCATGGATTTTATCATATCACAGAGAAACAACTATTTCCTTCCATTCCTCTAATTCTAAATGAGTGCATCACAGCAGAGAATGTGTCTGGAATAAGACAATAGAGCCATATCTCTACCATTGCCAAAAATCTACATGGCCATCATGAAATCATAGGAATTGAGCCTACTCGAAGTAATCTATGGTATGCATTAATATTTAACCTTGTCAATTACTTGAAAGTCTGAAAAAGGGAAATTCAAGAATAGTTTTATGTTCATTGTGATATTGATCACAAATACCTGTGCTAAATATCCATTTAGAGGTAGGATGTTCCTTAATTCTCAGATCTGACCTATGAATTTGTATTATAACCTAACTTTTGGTCATCTCTAGGCTATAGTGCAATTGATCAGATGCATGATCTTACCTCAGGTGCATAAATAATTGGGTAAAGGATAAAATAGGATTGTGGAGACACCCATACAGAAAGGAAGTGGCAAAAGTACAGAGAGTATAGATTACATTGATCTTGTATACAATATGTTCAAATTGAACATAGTAACCTTTTCCAAGTGTATTGTACGATTGTCTTTGTTTATTTGTGTTTGTGTACTTTTGTATCAGTGTTGACTCCTGGCCACCGTCTGGAAAAGCCCCTGCAGTTTTCTTGGCAAGATTTCTGAAGTGGTTTCCCACTGCCTGCTTCCTAGGGCTGAGGGAGAATGACTGGCCCAAGGTCACCCAATGGCTTTGTGCTTAAAGCAGGACTAACATTCAGTCTCCTGGTTTCTAGCCTGATACTGTCAGCCCTAGTGTGCCTGCCGGAATGGCCAGGGCTGCCATTCTGGTGGGGAACAGAGAAGCCGGGATTGCCTTTTCCACTTTTCCAAATGGCAGGAAATGTGCCTAATATGATCTTTTGTCATGATTCTGGGTATGATTAGAGTGAAAACCAGCATAGAGTTATGCATATTTTAGTTGAAAGTACTGTTTTTCCTGTGAAGCATCTGAATCCTCTTCAATTGTGGTTCTGGCCTAGTCATGGTCAGAAAAAGCACTAGTCGTTTTAAAGCATTGTTTCTGAACCTTAGCTGCTTAAAGATGTGTGGACTTCAACTCCCAGAATTCTCCAGTCAGCTATGCTGGCTGGGGAATTCTGGGATTTAAAATCCACACATCTTTAAGCAGCTAAGGTTCAAAAACATGGTTTCAAAGGATAGCCATAACTAGGGCCTGAAATTGGAGAAATATCTGCCCCTCCGGATCATACTGGATTTCTTGGTTGTATTCAGGTACCTTTCTGGACTATCTGCAAGGGTTGGGAAATGGAGACACTGATTTGGCCATATTCCAAAATCTCAGAGCTCTTTTACCAAGGAATGGTAAACAACAAGCATTCCTCCCTCCCTCCCTCTATTTTTCACCAACGATCAAATTATGGAAGGAGAACAAAGGAGGAAAAAGGTAGAAATGGCCAAGAGCGACAATGCTTGACTTGAGCTAGGACTCAGGCTCTTGTATACTCTCCAGATTTAATTAAGGATACAGTTCACATGAGCTAATATGGCTGCTTTGCTGTTTGAACAAATCAAGAGTCTTTCCTCTACTGCTGTAGAAGCATAAATTGTCTCATCCATGAATAGTAGCTGAATATCCCACCCATAAGTTTTAAAAGCAGAAGGATAAAACAATATGCTTTTAACAGCGATTGCTGAAAGCCATCATTTGCAGAGGGCTACTGCTCTCTAATCCAAGCTTATTAGGTTCCTAAAAGCATCCAGCTGGCTTTGGAGTGACACAGATTGTTAAACTAGATGGGGTTGTGGTTTGAGTCAATATAGGTTCTGTTCTCAAAGAAAAGCTATCCCTATATGACTCTTTCTGGCATATGTAGTCCCTGATATTTTAGGCAGATACTGTGTTTAAAATAAACATAAACACTTGATTTTTAAATAACTACTGTTTTTAAAACAGGTGGAGACAGACTCTCCAAAACATCTCCCAGGGATATAATATGGCCATGAGAACTGACTATATATAGTATTAAATAGTAGTAATTGCTACTGTGTGCTAATCTAATATAACAATAGCTTTATTAGTAGAAATTAATGGGTGAAACTTTCAGAGTATGAAGATAAAGCATCATTACCTAGACATGTTTGCTTATTCAGCAAGCATGAAAGGTAAAATGATAGGAGTGGATTTAAGAAAGACAACAATTTAGGACAATTTTGATCCATGATGCTGGAAGTAAATAAAGAATGGATAGTGCCCTCTACTGCACTCTGCACAACATTTCACAACCTGGAAAAAACAGCTTCAGTTCCCATAATCCTTATCAAAATAGTGATGTCTATGCTAAATGGGAATTATGAAAACTAATCTAATATTGTAAAAGGCATTAATGGCAATTTTTACCATTTATTGCACTAAGATCCATTATACATTTAGAACAGTAATTGCTCTTCCTTTCATATACCACTTGAAGTTTAGATATTAACCATCAGTTACATGCACCCACAAGTTACAAGGTTTTAGAATGAGGTGTATAACGAAGATCAAGTCTTACCTGCATTGTAGCACTTCAAAGGAATAGTACATTCTCCAACCTTTCTAAAACATTGTTAGGTATCAATAGCCAATAATGAAAGGCACACCAAATTTTCTCCAAAATTCCAACAAATCAAAATGAAATATTCTACATTGCTTGTAATAATACAATATGAAACAACTCTTAACATAATTAAAGTTTAATAAAGACAGCAACTCAGTATTTTTTAAACTTGAATCTCAGCAAGTGTGGAATGCAGTGATAAATGGACAGAAGATCAAAGACTCTTAAATCATGTTGAGCAGAGGCCTATCCTTAAATACAAGGGAAGTCTATAATTTTATATTTGGGCAACATTTGTCTGTCATTGGCTGGCTTGGTTATAATTATATGTTTATACAGAGTTAAACAGAAATTACAAAGGGAAGTTCTTAATTTCTTGAATAATTATGAGACTGTTTTATGAGTAGTGGGTAGCATTTGAGTCAGTAGAGACCTTTCATCTGTATCATGTTCAATTAACTGCAAAATCCTATATGGGTACATGGAAGAAGTAGAACTTTTCAGCTGAATGCAGGCCCTACTGAATACAATTCCAGTAAAATGCAAAGGATTAATATACATCTGGCATTTTCCCATCTGCATTTGTGCAACACCTTCCAGGCAATTTTGTTTTCAATCTTGAAGATTTATGGTGTTTTTGTCATATATATTTTAAAGA